GTCTTTGACGTGCTAGGCGTGCGAGTGGACTTGTCCAAGCAGCACCTCGGAGAAATCTCAGTGAGCAACAAGCCAACCCGTGCAGCAGAGCTGGGGTTGGTCCTCAGCGAGGCCCTCGCCCGCGGCAGCATGTCCCCCTTGGAAGCGCAGAGCCTGCGCGGCAGGCTCATCTTCGCTGAGCAGCAAGCCTGGGGTCGTAACACTCGCATGGCAGTGATCTGCGTAGGCGACGTCCTTGGGGATGGACCAGAGCAAGTCCCCCTAACAGAGCAGCAATGCCAAGCCATGGCGTTCCTGCTACAAAGAGTGGTGCACGGACCGCCCAGGACAGTGTCCATCCATGCACGCCGGAAAGTGCACCTGTACATCGACGGGGCCTGCGAATGGGAGACCCCGAGACTCGTGCCCAAGTGTGGCCTCGGAGCAGTGCTCATCGGAGAAGGCATCGCTTTCACCTGGGGGCTGCAGATCAGCAGCCAAGTCACAGCCCAGTGGGCCGCCAGGGCTCAGAAGCAGCAGCTCGTCTACGAGTGCGAGCTGCTGCCCTACCTGCTCAGCCTCCAAATGTGGGCTAAGCATGTAGCAGGCAGCGACCTGTTCGTCTGGATAGACAACGACGCAGCGCGTACCTCCCTGCACAAGGCCTTCACACGCAAAGTGGAAGGAGCGGCGATAGTCTCGCAAGCGGTGGACTTCGAAGAATCCCTGCAGTGCAGGGCTGCTTTCTTTCGAGTCCCCACAGACAGCAATATAGCTGATGGCCCCAGCAGAGACTGGTGGGAAGAGACGGAGCGGCTTGGCGCAGAGCGCCAATTCCTGCCGCCCAACGCAGTGTCGTTGGCTTTGTCACTCGGCGCGGACTAGATGCAGGGTGAGTAAGGCTTCGAGTGCCTTCAAGGGGGGGTGAACCAGTCGTTCGCCTTACCACCGACCAGCGGTCGAGTTTTGGTCTGAAATGCCAGTGGCATCGTTTCGTCAGAGCCCGAAGATCGGGCCCGAACCGACCCCCCATGTCCGCTAGGAGAAAAAAAAGAGTGTTTTCACAGGGTTCTCTCTGCAGCGCAGTTAGGGTTTCCCAAACGCGCGCTAACGGAAGTTTCGTTGGAAAATAAGCATCCATCATGCGTGCGTGAATGGGTTTTATTTTCCGCCGAAAGTGTAGACAAAGTTTGTCGAAAAAGGAAAACAGTGTTTTCACTTGTGTGTGAGTGACACTAGACAAACTTTGCCGTGCAGCTTTCGGCTTGGAGTTGGATCTGTGATCCAAAAAGTTTTTGTCCCACCCACCACACCCTGTATAGTATGCGGGGTCCGGGACACCGCTTCGGCAGCAGAGCTGCCAGGAGCAGCGCTCCTATGCTCTCTCCAGCGGAGAGATTTCAGCACAGAGTGCGATTTTGTACATAGGCCGTAGGCCGTGCAAATGCAGAGTAGCAACTAGTAGCTGCAGTGACCCAGTAGGTCCTAGCATGTTTCACTTTATCTTTCCGTGGTACGGGTTCTTCCCTGGTAGGGGGGGTGAACCAGTCGTTCGCCTTACCACCGACCAGCGGTCGAGTTTTGGTCTGAAATGCCAGTGGCATCGTTTCGTCAGAGCCCGAAGATCGGGCCCGAACCGACCCCCCATGTCCGCTAGGAGAAAAAAGAGAGTGTTTTCACAGGGTTCTCTCTGCAGCGCAGTTAGGGTTTCCCAAACGCGCGCTAACGGAAGTTTCGTTGGAAAATAAGTGAGCTGTCGGCCCGGATCCTGAAGTGGTGCCACGGCCGTGGCATTCTCGTATCAGTTGAAAACCCGGCTGCAAGCTCCGCGTGGCAAGGCCCCCTTGGCAAAACCTGCCTCGCCTTAGGCCTCCTCAAGACCTCATTGCACCAGTGCATGTTCGGGGATCCTTGTGCTAAGCACTCAACTTTCTTCCACAACTACCCTGAACTTCGTAGGTTAGGAATTGCTTGTGATGATTCGCACTCTCATGCTCCCTGGCAGTCGGGTGCCTTGCACGTGTACCCACCTGACCTATGCGATGGATTTGCTAGAGCATTGCTTGAGCGCCTCAAAGCCTTTGGGTGTGCGCCATCCACTGTGACTGATGTGTCCATGCACCGTGCTGCTCAGGTTGCTGCTGCCAAGCAGCCGAAAGGAAAACGCATCCCGCCGATTGTGCCGCCTGTTGCTGGCACTGTTGTGCTTCGAGGACCCGGTGCTGTCATGCCACCCACTGGTGTCTTAAAGTCCTTTACGCCATTGTCTTCAGAGCTTGTCGTCCTGCCGCCCATGCATGGCCTGCCTGCTGGAAGCAAGTGCCTTCGGTCAGTGCTCTTCGGGGGTGGGGCTGACCTTCCTTCGATTCGGGAAATGACTTTCTCCGTGCCAAAGTCTTGTGAAGATTTTGTGCAGCAAGCATGCTTCGCTGAGCATCCCAAGCACCTTTACAGTGGCATCCCTGATGTACTTGCGAAGTGTGTCAGCAAATGTGCTTCAGAAAGTTACGAGAGTCTTGGTCGGGAAAGGACTGCTTCACTTCGGCGCTGGGTGGCTAGGGCAAAAGAGTTGTCCGAGCAAGTTGATCCAGATCCTCCTGTGGGTCACTGCGCAGAGGTCTTAAAGGGCAAGGACCTTAGGCTGTTCAAAGAAATGCTTGATGAAAGTGGGCATGTTGACAGTGGGCTGCCTAGTCAGGTGAAGAGAGGCTTTGACATTATGGGTCCATTGCCCGCTTCTGGTGCCAGGCCTAAGAAAAACACTTTTGCAACTTTGACGCCAAAGGAGGTCCGTGACAATGCATCATCGATCAATAAGGCAATCTTGGGAGCCTGCCGGTCTTCCAAGGACAAACAAGTTGCCGAAGAAGTTTTCGCGCTCACCTGTGATGAGAAAGAGAGGGGATGGCTTGATGGGCCGCACGACTTTCCTTTGCCAGATGGTGCTGTGCTCACTCGCAGGTTTGGCATTCGGCAAACAAGCACACAGGCTGATGGTTCGGTTCTTGATAAAACGAGGCCGATTGATGACTACACCGAGAGCCAAGTGAATCTCACTAATGCCAGCGTGGAGACCATTTCGCCTCATGGTGTGGACACCATTGTTGCTGGGATTTGCCGGCGCATCACCTCGAGGCCTGAGCAGGCTGAGCCTGAGGAGCTGGTGGCATGCACAGTGGACCTTAGAAAAGCCTATAAGCAACTTCCGGTTTCGCTCGAGTCGCTGAACGATTGCTTCTTGTGTGTGCATAGCCCTAAGTGCAATCAGCCTTCCATATACCGCACACCTGTGCTGCCCTTCGGGGCCCGTGCTGCAGTTAACGGATTTTGTAGATGCTCGCTTGCTTTGTTTTGGGATAGGGGTTGTCCTGTTGCAGCTCCACTGGAGCTGCTACTTTGACGACTTTTTCTTGGTGGCAGCGCAGTCGGAGGCAGAGCATGTGCATTTGATTCAACGGGGTTTCTTTGACTTGCTTGGCTGGTCTACGTCGTCCGAAAAGGACTGGGGATTTAACTGCCTGGCTCGAGTGCTAGGGGTTTCCATCTCGTTTGCCGACGTTAGGGCTGGTCTAGTCGTAGTTTCGAATACGGAACACAGGATACGCGACTTGAGCAATCTTCTTGACTTGTTGGTATCAAGGGGCTCTGCATCGAGTCATGAGCTGACAGTGCTTCGAGGCAGACTCTTGTTTGCTGACAATCAGGTCTTTGGCAGGCGTGCCCGGCAGGTCTTCTCTGTCCTGTCCAAAGCCTGCTCTTGTAAGAAGAATGTCAAAATAACTGGTGAGCTGCTGCACGCGCTTCTGTTCTTCCGTGATCACATCGTGAATGGTGAGCCAAGGCGTGTCAGTGCTTGCAAAAGGGAAAAGCTGACCCTCTTCACTGACGCCTCCTTTGGAAGCGAAGGTTCAGGACTTGGTGGGATCCTTTACGATTCAGCTGCCAAGCCTCTCAAGTGGTTTGCTGAGTGGATTGATCCTTGTGACCTTGTCCCCTTCGGCTCTGATGCTAAGGAGGGTTTGATTTATGAGTTGGAGATCTTCGCAGCAGTGCAAGGTGTCGTGGACTTGCTCAAAGGCAAGTCGAACATTGACCTAGTGCTGTTTGTGGACAACGAGTCCGCTTTGTCATGCTTGATAAGTGGCCGCGCAGAAGGCATTGCAGCTTGCATACTTCAGAAGCTTGTCTGCTTCGAGGAAGAGAACGATATCAACATTTGGTGTGAGTGGGTGCCATCCCAAAGCAATCCTGCTGATGGTCCATCCAAGATTCTGGCTCAAGTACAGTTTTGTTGTAGGTCTTCTTTTGCTTCGAACCGGGCCCTGGGGCTTAACAGGCTCGGCGTTTAACCGTGGCTCCACGACGTTTGGTAGCTTTTTCGCTCATGGCATGGACGGCTCTCGCGTTGGCCCCAACAAGATGCCTCGCCCTTCTGTGCTGTCTGATTGTTCCGAGCATGCTGCCAGGAAGCAGCACACATCAGACAAGGGAGCCGACTGTACGGCCCCGAGCATGCATAAGCGAGACACTCAGGTCGCATCAGCAAAACTTGTGTGTGCTCAGGGACCGCCAGTTCTGTCCAAGAGAGCCCAGCGAGATGAGCTGTGCAGGCTGTCACTCATCCGTGCACAGGAGCGTTTTGATGCACGAGGCCCGCAACGCCAGCAACTTAATCTCGATGAAATGGATTGAAGGTGCTCAGGCTAGCTGCATGGGAGCCGCTGTCGGCCCTAGAATGCCAGAGCAAGCCGTACAGGAGCCTGCTCCCGTGCACCATGCCTTAGCTGATGCATCCCTTCGCTGCCCTGGTCAGGACCTACAGGCGAGCATTGCACCAGGAGACAAGCCAGCAAAGTTTGCTTGGACCTTAGCTGTCGTTCGTGGTGTTGCCAGCTTACTGCCAACAGGGACTGTAGCGCAAGGGATCACCTGCTCACTTTCGTCTGCGATATGTTGCTATGTGGACCATACTTTGCAGCTGCAGTCTTTTCCTTCAGCCTGTTTTTAGGGCAGCGCCGAGCATGTCGGCCCCAGGCGGTGCGGAACCGAAGCCCAAGCGGGAGAAGCCACGCTCGCACTTCAGAGCTGATGGGACTCGCCGACGCACCTCTGGCGAGAAGCAGGCCCGCAAGGACTGGTGGCAAGAGCATAATGCTAGCACGGCTGCTGGGTGGCATCGGCGAAACCAGCCTGCTGCCACGGCTGTTGCACAAAGCCCCACACAGAGGCGGGACCGATGGGCGCCAGCTCGGGACACAGGTTCTGCTGCTTCGGCTCCACCTGACGGAGAGGTCGGTTGGGGGGCCAATCTAAGTCACACAAGGTCTGAAGAGGACCCCAGGCAAGATGGCCCAACAGCTCAGCGTGGCACGGGAAGGCATGAGCCAGAGCAGTCGGCCGAAGCCTCCGCCTTGGACACCAGAAGGCCCAGCCAGGCGAGCACTACGATGGCTGCACAGGACAGACGCACCCTTTTGTTGCGACTTCCGGATGGCATTGGGATTCCGCAGCTCGCCGCTCAGCTGGATGACATCAAGAAGGACTCTGGGCTTTTGCAGGTCCTTCTCTCCGCCCGCCCCTCCAAGGAGGGGCGGTGGACGCTCCTATTGGACGGCACATTGCAGCAACAGGACCGGGCCAAGGCCATCGTGCAAGTCATCATGGAGAGGGCGCAAAATGAGTCAAGGATGGCGCCACCAGACCAACGTCCCACATCCAATGTGCCGACAGAGGTGAGCGCTGCTGGACCAGCTGGCCTTGATTCTCTCCCGCTATTGCACTTGCCACCGCATCCGAGTGTTGCTGCTGAAGCGTTGGACCCTGAACCGACTGGAATCCCGGAGATGCAGGTGGTCACAACAGAGAGGGACAAGACCTCAGGGAGTGCCGATCCACCGGCCCCCGGAGCAGCCCAGGCTGCTAGTGTACAGGCACAGCCATTGCAGAGTGTGGCCGAGACTGCCGAGCAGGGTTCCGACAGAGCAGCATACATGTTTGCGTCTCCCATGCTTCAAGTCCGGCCTTGTGATCGGCATGCCAGCACATATCATACCGCTGCACACATCTGCTGCCAAGGTTCATCATGGTCGTCCAGGGCAGGAACAAGGCCAGCCCAGGAGCTAAATCGGGAATCGTTTCCGCATGCCTGGCTTCAGGCTGTGGCCTGCCTTTTTCGGCCCCACCCTTGGAGAGCCGTGGCCGGGATCGGTACATAGGGCATCTTCCTGTCACACAGAGGTCCTGGGACCACTGTTCGGCCCCAACCTTGGAGAGCCGCTGGCCGTCACCCTGGAGCCCATAGCACCTCCCAAGCAGGTGGTGGCATCCTACCTCTATCTTATCCTTTTCTCCCTATGTGCGGTCAGGATGCTGCTCCTTGGAGAACGACATGGAGGTCAACCAAGGCGGGCTTTCAAGCCTCAGCTCAACTGCTTGTGGTACTTAGGCTACGGGCCCCGAGGTCAGTATATGATGCATCGCATCTGCTTAGGCAGATACAACAGGAGACGCCTGCACCGTTGCAGCTTCAGCCAGTGGAGAAGGACAAAGGCAGCTCGCTTCAGGTCGAGGTCGCAAACACGTGCTACCAGCAACATTGGACTAGGATTGTGCCGGAGCCTACTTGTAATCTCAACACTCCTGCAGCTGCTTGTGGCCCTCTCTTTCTTCCTTACCCTACCTTTTCGTATCCCTCCGCGCCAGTGTTCATGGGAAAGCGAGCCACACAGGAAGCGCCCCCGAAGGCGCAATCGAGCAGACGTGCAGGCAAAGCCGCATCCAAGGCCAAGGCAGCACCTAAGTCCAAGTCGCAGTCCAGATGCCGATCTCGACCGCAAACAAAGGCGAAGGCAAGAGCTAAGCCAGCATCCAAAGCCAGGACTTATCGCACTCCTCGCCGCGCAGAGCCCGAGGACACTACATCCACGTCGTCGTCCACATCGAGCAGCGATACAACATCAGCCGTCACAAGCTCGATGGAGGAGGTGTCGATCACTGCACCAAGCTCCGCCGAGCTCGAAGCCATGGCAGCAGGCACTCGTCTGGCCCAGGAGCAGGCAGCGGGGACACTCGAAGAATCAAGCGAGGACCTGGGCAGAGAGGCCACCGATGATGATTACAAGGACGGGCCCGGTCCTCCATCCTCAATGGCATCAGCGGCGAACTCTGGATGCAAACCTGCAAGTGTTGGGTCAGTGGGGAGGGTGGTCTCCCGAGGCTCGCCGAACTATGGCAAAACGGCACCGAAGATGCTCGTCCGGGCAGGGTGGAGATGCGTCCAGTGCTACAAACTCAAGAGCGAATGCGAGCTCACAGGTTGCCGACCCAACTTTGATCAACCGTAACTCGGATCGTCGCTTCGAGCAGCCAGCCCAGCAAAACAGGGACCTTGGACCTTTTGCTTTGACCTTCAGTCTGCATATTCCAGTCCTGAGCTTGGCGACTGCTGTTGCATATCACATCAAGCACTGGTACTGTGTTCTCTGTTCGATAGCGAGCTACATATATCCAACCAGCCGGCGCCCCAGCCCGGCCCTAAGCCCACACGAAGAGACCTGCACACGTAACAGATATGTTTCGAGCTGCCCCGGTCCCAAATCCGGGGACAACTTCCCTAGAACCAAGCCAAGTGGAGTCCAGGTACTACATTGGCATCGGCGACTGCTCTTCGGGGCTCTCGTCTTAACTCAACTTCAGGCAGCAAGGGGAGTTGGAGAATCGAGGGTTGAGACCCAAACCAGCGGGGTCTCGGGAACGGGATGTTCACCACCAGGTCTTACAACACCGACCCGTGAAGGCGCTGGCACAGCTACTCCATACAATGCCCGATCCCCAGATGCTCTTGTGTACCCTTGGAGTGCTAAAAGAGCATATCGTCGAGCTCGCGCACGAGCTGCTAAAGGACCCACCATGTACAGAGGTTCTCTGTGCAGTGCCAGTGAATTGCAAGCACAGTACGGCAAACCACTGCCCCCGCGCGAGCCCAGATCTACTTCGACAGCACAGCAAGGGAGCCGTGGTCGGCCCCGCACCACCGCCAGGCACCCGGCCACTCGGGTTCAGGTTCTTACCTTCAATGTGTCTGGCTTGTCCAGTGCAATGTGGCAGGAATTTCAGGCCTGGCTCAGTACAGCTGAAGCACTGCGATTTGACCTTATTCTCCTTCAGGAGACTCACTGGACGAGCTGGTCAGACTTCACCTCAGGTAAGTGGCACTGTGTTGGCACACCCATTGCCGATAAAGACAAATGCTCAGGTCTAGCGACACTTGTGCATTCGAGGCTGGGCCCCTCCGAAGCTATACAGTGCAAGACGTACTTGAAGGGCCGGGTCCATCACACCAGGATCCACCAGCAATTCGGAGCAATAGACGTGATAAACGTCTATCAGCACGTCTGGCGCAGCCACCACACAACGGCCCAGAACCAAGCAGCCAGGACCTCAGTGTATCGTGCGATTGGGCAAGCCTTAGGTTCCTGCCCCATGCGACACACATGCATTCTAGGCGGGGACTTCAATGCAGAGGTTAATGAACTTACACCGCATGTTGGCAGAGCCCTCCTGAAGAAGCGGGGGCATGACGGCGACAAGGACGCAGGCGAAGGCCTGCCGGAGCTCCTGCAAACCCATGGGCTCTGTCTCCTGAACACTTGGCACGGTAGGAACAAGGCCACCAACCTTACAAGCGGGGCCCTTAGCCAGATAGACTTCGTTGCCGTTCGCGTACAATGGGCTGATCGACTGGCTAAGCAGAGCGACTCTCTACCAGCATGCCCCGTCGGAGCCTGGAAAGCCAACCGGCACTTCCCCGTACAGGCCTCCATCAAACTGGTGTCACCTTGGCACCTGATTCGGCAGCCGAAGCCAGCCGGTGCAATGATTGACAAAGCTGCCATGCAAGATTCGATTGCTAGGCAGGACACCCGGGCCCAACAACTCCGAACTCAGGTTGCACACGACCTGTCTCAAATCCCAGACGCATTGAGCCCTAGTGAGCTTACAGTCAAGGTAGACAGTATCCTGATTCGAAGAGCTGAACAGATGTACCCAGCCCGAGGCCGGGAAGACCGACGCGTAAGCCAAGACCCCCAATTTACTCTTCTAACCAAAGAGCTGTGGAGTCTTTACAGGTCGTATCGGTCCATAGGCAGATGCAATAGGCAAAACATCCTGCGAAAATGGCGGTTGTGGACCCAGTTTAAGCGAGCATCCAAACAGCTGCGGGACCGAGCCAAGAAGATAAAACGACAGAAGATCCAAGACATCATGTGTGAACTGGAGCAGGCGGCCAAGCGAGGGGACCAAGGAAGCACCTATGCTGCCGTTCGCAGACTGGCCCCCTGGAAGCCAGTGGCAAAGCCCAGCATCCGTGGGCCGACAGGCGAGCTCCTCACGCCAACACTCCAGTTACAGGCTCTAACGGTGCACGCCCAGGACAAATTCTGCAAGGGCACTGACTACCGTCCGACAGGTGTGCTCCTGGAGGGTCTCGCCATCACGAGCGATCAACTTCAGTCTGCCCTTCGCAGGCTGCCGATTCGGAAGGCAGCGCCGCCGGGAGCGGCACCGTCTGCTCTATGGAAAAACAGCGCCGAGGACCTAGCCGAGACCTTCTTTCACCCGGTCACCCACATGTGGAGCTCAGGTCAAACTGGAAGTGCACCCTCCATCTGGAAAGACGCCAATATGGTCTGGATGCCGAAGCCCAATAAGGATCCCAGCCTGTTAGCCAATCTTAGACCCATTGGGTTGGTACACCCCATGGGCAAATCCATCTGCACCCTGCTTAGGTCCCGACTGCTGCCCGTCCTCACACAGGCATTGATTACACGCCCGCAGTTTGCGTATGCCAAAGGCAGATCCACTTTGGACGCCTTGTTGCGAGCACATGGGCACCTCACTCGGACACGCCAGGAGATCGAAGCTCAGCGTACATCCATTTATGCAAGACATTCAGGCCAGGAGCCCAAATCTTGCTTTGGCGGCATTTGCTTCAGCTTAGATCTCAAAGGTGCTTTTGATGCGGTTCCGAGGCACAGGTTGGCCGAGAGTCTGTTCAGACTGCAGGTGGAGCCGGATCTAGTACATCTCATCATGCAACAACAGCACCAGTCACAGTATTGGACAAGGATCGGAGCCGATATCCGGCCCGTAATGCCCACCCAAGGCATAAAGCAAGGTTGCAACATTGCACCCTATTTGTTCATTGCGTATACCATCCTGCTCATTGATAAAATCGGTGAGAGCACACCAGACAGATGGACGGAGGATGGACTCACCTGGTACGCGGACGATGCCTTCGCCGCCTGGAAAATCCAAGATGCTGCAGGCCTTCGCCAGGCGCTAGGGGACATCCAGCGTATTATTGCAGTCCTTGAGGAACACGGCATGGCGATCGAACCAAGCAAATGCGCTGTGCTGTACAACCTGCAAGGCAACGAAGTCAAGAAAATCCTCAGGCATGCTAAGGTGCGACGCCAAGAGCAAACTTACCTTCTGGCCCGGGAGTCTCCTGAAACATTGGTGCCAATCAAGAAACAACATGAATACTTAGGCACGATCCTGGCCTACAGGGACCCACAGACACTTACCTTGCAACATCGGCTCAGCAAGGCCCGGGGACAGTATGCATTGCTGCGGAAAACACTTCATGCCAAGAGGCTTGTCACACGCAAACACCGTTATCGCATATGGAAGGCAGGCGTCCAGGCCAGCGCATGCTACGGGTTGCTGGCCACCGGCCTCACCGTCACAGGCCGTACACAACTTCTCGCCATGTCGGCAAGGCAACTTCGCTCAATAGCAGGTCGCCCAGCACATCTAACGCACGAATCCAACGCTGAGATTAGGAACCTGTTCGACTGTGTCGAGTGGACCGAAGATCTGCTCACGTTGGCTAAGAACCGGCTCACCGAACTTCGCACACTGCAAGAGACACAGCCTGAGAACATTGTTACCAGGCCACAGGCACTGCAACAGCTGACACATGCCATGGAAACCTTCCAGCAGGTGATTCCGATCGAGCGGCCCAAGCAGGACGGCGTGGAGGGTATAGGCGTGCCGTGTCCGGTTTGTGGGGTTTATTTTGATAACCTGACTAGCGTTCGCAAACACCTTAGGCGAAAACACCCTGAATTCCAGAGGCCAGACATCAAGTTCGACCCGGCCGAACATGCCATTGGAGGACTGCCGCAGTGTGCCGGATGCAAGCACAGGTTCCAGAGTTGGCAGGCACTTAAGACCCACATTGAAAAAGGTCAATGCCACCAGCAGGGAGAGAACAACCCGGAGCCGAGTACCGGCCCTGCGCAGACTACAGCCCCCCCTCCGGTTAACCTCACCCCGGCAGCCCAGGCCACAGAGGAGCAGCCACGATTGCCACCGCATCGAAATCTTAAAGTCGCGGACTTGATTCGTGACCAAGGGTGGGAAGCCCTGGTGAACAGCGAGCATGCAGAGGACTTAAAACAGCACTGCTGCATTTGTGCCAGATGGATGGTTGACACAACGTCCATCAAACGACACATGCGATACTCCCATCCTGAAATCTGGAAGCAGGTCTCGGAGCGGCTCGAAAGCACCTGCTCTGTCTTCAAGCCCCGGCTCACGCGAGATGGTATCTGCCCGTACTGCCAACGCACTTCCTACAGTCGTCACTTTAAGCAGTGCTGTGTCATACTTCAGTCTGCGATCCTTGGACTCATTCCCAGCCATGGCGACAACACAGGAACAGATCCAGATGTTCGGCTACCTGCTGCCGGGTCTGAGCGAGTCCAACAAGAGACCTCCAGCCACGCCGCAACAGCAGAACAACAAGGGAGACGAGTCCGGCAAAGGCGGGGGCAAGAGACGACGCACACGCCGAGGACAGGGGGGACAGGGGAGCCGAAACTCGGCCCCAGCAGAGGCACTGACGGCACTGACGAAGGACGGCGGCAGGCTCCTCAATCTGATCTCGCGCATCCTGCTCCAGCACGAGGACAGCATCAACGCCGCAAAGATGGATCGGGGCTTCACGGTCTTCATGGCCCAGACGGGACCAGCAGGACTACTCACCAGCCTCTACAATGCAAGTATCGCTTGGAACCAGGTCAAGGACAACGAGCCGGCGAAGATCACGCAACCGCTACGGATCACACTGTTAACCCTGATGATCGCGGAGCTCAAGGTACGCCTCCAGAATCTGGAAAAGAAGCAAGAAGCCAAGCAACTGGCCATCAGTGCAGGATGGCTCGACCAGCAAGACCGACTTCTGTACCAAAAGTGGGACGCAGAGAATGCAAAGCTGGTACCTCATCCCACGATGCCGGGCCTCGTGACGACAGAAGTGATGCAAACCTTGACGGAGATCGAGCCGCTCATCCTGGAATCCTTGGTGCTGCGCTTCCATGCGCCGCGAAAGATCAAGCCCACACCGGAGACGGAGAACAAGGCGGTTTTCAAGTTGGAGGTTTCTCTCAGAAGCGCAGAAGCGGATCAACTTTACCAGAGCCTCGCGAAGCTGGAGAACAATGCAGTATGGCAGCTCATAGGGTGCCAGCTCAGAAAGGACGGAATGCGCCGATCCAACCCAGTGCAAGAGCTGATGAAGCTGCTCAGCCAGGAAGGCCGGTCACCAATCATGTGCAACACTTGATCCTGCAAGCCTCCCTCCACAATGGCTCCAACACGTGTTATCTCAATGCCTTTCTGCATGCACTTATGTGGCAGGTGACAATGATGCAGAGTGAACTTGCTTTGCCTCAGGCTTGGCTAAACGCCATTAGTACAGCAGAAACCAAACCGCTCGCTCTTCTCAGGTTCCACCTGCTGGGGTGGGGACAACCACATGTGCAACACGATGTGGCTGAGCTTGCATCGCATCTGCTTCGAAGCCTGAGCTGGGCACCCAGTGTAGTTTCGTGGTGCCGTCGAGTGCAGGTGGACGGGGTCTACCAACACCTGCAGCCAATGCAGGACTCCCGATTGTTAATCCTCGATCCCGCCACTGGTCTACAAACACCGATCCTACAGGAAACGATCACCTCCTGGCACGGGGTCATCGCGGTGCAGGCACTTATTGAAGCGCCACAAATGCTGTGGCTCCAATTGCCGAGGTTTGTGCAAACCGGTGCCCGGATTCAGAAAGTTAAGCAATCCATCCACCTGGATGTCCAGCACCGTTGCATCCGTATACCGGTGTTCGCCTCAACTGATGCCTCCAGGGATGCTTCAATCAATTGGTGTGACTACCGAGTGAATGCAGTGATTTATCACCTAGGCGCAACAGTCAGTGCCGGGCATTATCGCACCATGCTGTTCCACCCGCAGGCAAACGGGGGCTGGCACACCGATGACGGAAAGCCAGCTGCTTGGTGCAAAGCCGTGCCGAAACAAGTTGAAAGGAACTGCTACCTGGTGTGTGCGACCAGGCTGGTCAGCAGTGAAGGGCCCTGACGCAGCTAGGGTAGTTTTGGTAGTTTTGGGAGCCGTTCCTCGGCCCCATGCAGTACAAAGTAGGGTCAGCGCTCAGTGCGCTGGAGTTCCGTCCTGAGTAAGACACTCGTGTCCTCAGGATACGGGGTAGGGGACACTTAGCTTGCTGCCACTGAGCAGCCGTGGCGAAAGGTCACGTAGTTCGCTAGACAGAGAGACACTCGTCTGCGGTTGAAAGTGAAAAAAGTGATGGTCCATCCCGGAAGGATTACAGCAATCTTGATTCGTCTCTTCGTGTGCGGCTCACTGCCTTGACACCTTAGGGCCTGTGCGTGGGGTGTGAAGGGCCCGATGTGTTCGAGCAGTGAGCTCAGTGACCATCGGTGCTTCTTCTTACGACTCAGACTTTGTCGCAAATCCCATTGCAAAACGAAGGCTTCGGATGTCACGCGAATTTTCTTTTATATTATATTTCTTATTGTGAAGGCACATAATGGCCTATATATTGTGAATGCCCTTATAACTTAGGGCGACAGGAATCAGAAGGAAATAAGACGAATCTCACCGAAGGTGATATAGTTTTATTTTCCTGATTCCGAATTTTGAAAGTTTGACTTTCAAGAGCCCGAAGTTTTCCCTTAATCGTTTTCCAGTCTTTGGAACGATGTGGAATCTTCCTTTGCCCGTGCAACATTACGGCTCCAGGGAGGGAGGTGGGAAACCCCGTAGCTGGGCAAAGGCTCAGTTTTTGTCCCGCCCGCCCATCCCTTTTTCACGTCGGGGTGTGGAGGGCCCGATGTGTTCGAGCAGTGAGCTCAGTGACCATCGGTGCTTCTTCTTACGACTCAGACTTTGTCGCAAATCCCATTGCAAAACGAAGGCTTCGGATGTCACGCGAATTTTCTTTTATATTATATTTCTTATTGTGAAGGCACATAATGGCCTATATATTGTGAATGCCCTTATAACTTAGGGCGACAGGAATCAGAAGGAAATAAAAGGCATCGCCTTCACCTGGGGCTTGCAGATTAGCAGCCATGTGGCAGCACAGTGGGTTGCCAGGGCACAGAAACAGCAATTGGTATATGAGTGCGAGCTGTTGCCCTATCTGCTCAGCCTTCAGCTGTGGGCGAAGCACATAGCAGGCAGCGACCTGTTCGTCTGGATAGACAATGACGCAGCGCGTACGTCTCTGCACAAAGCCTTCACACGGAAAGTCGAAGGCGCAGCGATAGTTTCGCAAGCAGTGGACTTCGAAGAGTCCCTGCAATGCAGGGCTGCTTTCTTTAGAGTCCCGACAGACAGCAACATCGCTGATGGCCCCAGCAGAGACTGGTGGGAAGAGACCCAGAGGCTTGGCGCAGCGCGCCAATACCTTCCGCCCAACGCAGTGCCGTTGGCTTTGTCACTCGGCGCGGACTGAATGGGGGGTGAGTAAGGCTTCGAGTGCCTTCAAGGGGGGTGAACCAGTCGTTCGCCTTACCATCGACCAGCGGTCGAATTTTTCCGTCAAGATGCCAGTGGCATCGTTTCTTCAGTGCCCGAAGATCGGGCCCGAACTGACCCCCCATGTCCGCTAGGAGAAAAAGAGAGAGTGCTTTGCACAGGGTTCCTCTGCAGCGCAGTTAGGGTTTCCCAAACGCGCGCAAACGGAAGTTTCGTTGGAAAATAAGCATCCATCATGCGTGCGTGAATGGGTTTTATTTTCCGCCGAAAGTGTAGACAAAGTTTGTCGAAAAAGGAAAACAGTGTTTTCACTTGTGTGTGAGTTACACTAGACAAACTTTGCCGTGCAGCTTTCGGCTTGGAGTTGGATCTGTGATCCAAAAGTTTTTATCCCACCCACCACACCCTGTATAGTATGCGGGGTCTGGGACACCGCACAAGCAGCAGAGCTGCCAGGGGCAGCGCCCCTCTGCTATCTCGAGTAGAGAGGCGTCAGCACAGAGTGCGCTTTTGTACATATGCCGTAGGCCGTCATGACTACAGCGTAGCAACTGGTAGCTGCAGTGACCCAGTAGGTCAGAAAACGTTTCACCTTATTGTCCCGTTGTGCGGGTTACTCCCTTGTAGGGGGGGTGAACCAGTCGTTCGCCTTACCATCGACCAGCGGTCGAATTTTTCCGTCAAGATTCCAGTGGCATCGTTTCTTCAGTGCCCGAAGATCGGGCCCGAACTGACCCCCCATGTCCGCTAGGAGAAAAAGAGAGAGTGCTTTGCGCAGGGTTCCTCTGCAGCGCAGTTAGGGTTTCCCAAACGCGCGCAAACGGAAGTTTCGTTGGAAAATAATGCCTTGCATCGCCCGCAAGTACAACCGCAAAACTTTACGCATCCTGCTCAGTACAAAGGCCGCTTTCGAATTTACTTGCCGCTATTGGAGGAGTCGCTTGGACTGCGGCTCTCAGCACGGTTGTGCTTGCAACCCGCAGGATTGTTGGCAGGCGCTTTCACGTGTCCGCCAGTGGAATCAGCTCAACGGATACGACATTCAGGCTGGCTTGGCAGTCTGGCTGCCAGGTCCTCGGCAAATCAGTCTTTGGTGCCCAGAGCGCTTCTATCTGCTTGGATATTACCGCATTGAAGGCCGCAGAAATCGTGCGACGTGACTTTGCAGATATTGCTGTGGCCCGTAAGCAATATAACCCGTACACCCTAGGCGCCAACCTCTCCTTCGAGGAATGGATGCTGGCTGCTCGACGCTTTTGGCAGCAGAGCGGGTTAGCTGACGGCCTGCATTACAGAGGAGGCCCTTCCAAGCATCCTAGAGAACAGCTTCCGGAGTTGGCTCCGTAATTCGAGCGTTCTTTTGGCCCAAGTGTTGCAAAGATGTCCGACGTGGAAGCACCTCCTTGTTCCTCCCCTTCAAAGAGTGGAGTTGCCGCAGGAGTGTAGAACGTCCTTCGTAAATGAATGTCCTTCCTCGTCTGGCCTGTTGCTAGGAGACTTTGTCCGCCGTCTGGCTCGCTTGCGACAGGAGCGTCAGGATGCAAAGGTGTGGTATTGTCTGCGTGTCTACAAGATGTCTTGATTAGGTAGAAGCGTGCAGAGTCGCTAAGATCCTGAAAGCAGAGCAAAGAAGACTTCGCAAGGCATGGTTTTGTCTGCTGCCCCGTAGAATGTAGATGTTTGAACTTGCCCAGGCCAAAACAGTAGCACGGCAGCTTTCTGAATCGCAGTAAGTAAGCCTTGTCGTTTCTCACACGATGGCACGAATGCTTTCACGCGCACGGAGCCCGGCGCTGAGAGTGATCAGCGGTCAGTGAGCTTTGCTGTCGCCTCTCTGGTGTTGAGCTGTTGCCCCAGCAGCGAGTATCTGTTGAGCAGTGACTAAGCTCTGCGAGCTTTTAGTACGTGAGTCAGTGAGTGTGAGTGAGTGAGCTTTGCTGTGATGAACGGTTGCCTGCAGCGCGTAATTTCTTCTTCGCTGTCGGGTGAGCAGTGACCAAGCTTCGCTCTTTCTTTTCCAAGGGAATGAATGTTTACAGTTTACGGCTTTGAGCCCGGCGCTGAGAGTGATCAGCGGCGCGACCTTGCTGTGACCCGAACTGTTGCGTGAGCAGCTAGTAACTTCTTCGTCTTCGGTTGAGTGTGAGTCTTGTTGTGACCTGAACTGTTGCGTCAGTTACTAAACTTTTCGGTTCAGCAGTGTGCAAGCCTTGTCTGAGGCAGGGCACGAATGTTTTGCGGGCTTTGAGCCGGCACTAAAAGCGATGACGCTGCGGAGTGGGGTTTGCCATCTGGCAATGAGGTCTGCCATCTGAGCCGGTGAATGTATGAGCATGGCCCAAACTGCTGCCTGAGCAGCTTGTAAACTTTTCGGCTAGTCAGTGACGAAGCCTTGCTTTGACGTAATCCCAGCTTTCTTTTTCTGAAGGCCACCAAAACGTGGCTGGGTTGCGGTGTGGGGTTTAGGATGAGTAAGTGAGCCTTGCTGTAGTCCATGTGGGCAGCCAAAACTCTTTGTTGACATGTAGCAACGAATGCACGAATGTGAGCCCGTCATATCATGCTCATTCGCAAGTGCTTCCGAAATGTTGAGTCTGTTGCAAGGTCGAAGCTGAGCGCCGTAGCCTTTTAAGTAGAGCAACATGCAGCATGGGAAATCTGGATCCGAAGCTGTCCGCTTGCAGAAAGCTAGGACAGGCAGACTCCACTGATCCGCCGCCTTTTGATTCGAGATTGTATGCTGCAGGGTGTGAGGATACAGACGAGGGAACCTGAACGAGCCCAGCGGTGCCAGGCAAATGATTTCACCCTTAGGACCAAGCCGGTGGTATAATACTCAGCTGCCAACTGAGTTTGATTGACTCCGGCATGTCTGGGACCTTCCACCCTTCTAATAGTGTTATACTACCCAAAGGGTGTGTAAGTGGGTTCCCTAGGTTTTGCAGCAGATGGGGTGGGTTCCCTGTGGGTTCCCTTGTTTTTTGCAACACTTCAGGTGGGCTACATATGGGTTCCCGTGTTTTTTGCAGCATTTCGGGTGGGTCTGTGTATGTTCTTCACTTAGCTTTCTTGTAGATTCCCATGGTTTTTGCAGCATGGACGGTGGGTTCCTTGTGGGTTCCCTGGTTTTTGCAGCATTTTTGAGTGGGTTCGCATGGTTTGTGGAGTATCGACGGTGGGTTCTCTGTGGGTTCGCTTATTTTGTGCAATTCAGGTGGGCTACATATGGGTTCCCTTGTTTTTTGCAGCATTTCGGGTGGGTCTGTGTCTGTTCTTCACTTAGCTTTCTTGTAGATTCCCATGGTTTTTGCAGCATGGACGGTGGTTCCCTGGTTTTTGCAGCATTCTTACGTGGGTTCCCATGGTTTGTAGCAGTATCGACGGTGGGTTCTCTGTTGGGTTCCCTGGTTTTTTGCAGCATTTGAAGTGGTTTTCCCAGCATATACTGCGCAAAGGTCTGGGCGGGCTCCCTTAACTCTTTATGTTTCAGAGAAGAATGGAACTGAAGAAGATGTTCAGGACAGTGGCTGCAGGTGTGGCCCAGTTCCATCGCACATATTGCGCTGCATTTGGATTTGCTGCTTTGAAGTAAGGCTGCAAAAAGCACGTCTGCTGTTTGCAGTTTGGGTCGAAACCAAAGACGTTAAACAGGCTTACCGCTGATGCACATGAGGCTCGCCGCCCTCCTATTGTAATGCTCCTGATAAGCTTGCTGCGGCTAAATACTGGCACGCTGATGCGAGGATTTTGCGGCATGTGCTGGCAGACGTTCTCAGCTTGTAGCTTCAACTGTTTCGATTGCTTGCTGTACGTGCGCGGTGCTTTTTGCGTCTGGAAGCTCCACTTGCAGGAGCTTTTTTTCCTACAGAATCGTAGGAAGCCTCGAAGGGCCTCCCCTGTATCCATTTTTGGGCTACAGGCTGGTTCCGCGCACCACACGACTTCGCCGCCCCTCTTTCACCAGGCCGCAGCTTGCGGGACGCTACCATCGCAAGGAGTGGACTTTTTTGTACGCTCTGAATGATAAACACATGGCGGACGCGGCAAGCTGGCGGCGCTTTCTGCACGGAACGGCCGAGCGGTACTGGGCATACTCCCCTAGGCATTGGGCTCCATGTCATTGGAATGTGTGCCCTGGCCATTCGGCCGTGAGGCTGCGGCAGTACTCTCCGCTCGGCTGGCTGAAAAGCCGTTTTCATGGTTCCGCTCTTACTGTATTTGGAGGAGCCGGCGGAACGTAGACCAACGCCAGTCCTTCCCTCGGCACTCGTTCACTTCATTGATGTGCTTGTCCTGGCCATCCGGCCATGCAGCTTGTATGAAGATCTCGGATGCGGTGAATGGGGTGCGACTACTGGTCTCGAGGTCTGCTCTCTCGGCTTTATTACCGCCGGGCTGATTGACTGAGCAGGACGCGCGATTGGGCCTCTTTTTCCGCTCAGTTCATCGCTTCTCCGCTACAGCTGCGTCCTACAGCCACCAGAGGCGATGGCGACACTGCATATGTGGGCCACGGAAGCGGGGCCATGCCTTGTGCTTGCCATTGCGCAACCCAAGATTGCGGGGAGCGGGGCCAGTGAGCGCGGTAGATCCGATTGCACTTTAATTAATGCTGAACGACTTTGCCGGCCAAGTCTGTATGTCGCAGCCACCTTGTTTCACATGGTACAGTGATCGTTGCCTCTTATTCTTACTTTCTTGTTTCTTCTTGGGACCGAGCGCAGCAGCCGCTGTCACCGAGGCCCAGTCGCGCCAAAAAAAACTGTCGTTCAGCTGCTCGATTACAAGTGTGAAACGCTGGTTGAACGTCTCGTACAAGGAGCGAATGGCCAACTATCAACACCAAGGACAAGGCTGGCATCATCCGGCGATGCAATTGGTGTGGCTGCAGCGTCTTGGCTACAGGATCACTCAGGCAGGTCAAGGTGGAGAAGGACCATTTTCCATGGAGGAAATGCGTTCTGCTCTACTTTTGGACTCTGATGAGCCTGTGCTGGGATTTGGCTCCGTTTGTCACACAGACGGAGCCAAAGCCCACAAGTCCTTGAAGAGCCCTGTGCTGGACGGAAGTTTGGAGGACGGTGATTTCAAGCACAAGCCTCCGCACCCAGAATTCTCCAAAAGAATGCGGGTGAGTGTCTGGGTGGCGGACAAGACATGTTTTCGGTGTGTGGCCAGCTACGCAAGTCTCAAAGAGACGGCGGTGGGGTCACTTGGAAAGACATGTCTGCTTGTAAGAAGCCTTTTGTGAGCCCCACCTCGTGTACAGGTAGAGGTGGCAGGCGAAATGAGGGATGTGGTCACGCTCGGTTCGGGTTTGGGAAAGCAGGTTTGAGTGAGGTTGGAAAGCAAAGACAAAAAACGCGTTTTTTGTTCGCTGGCGGCCGTGCGTGCGCCGCTAATTGTTTCTAGTTAATAATTAGTTACCGCGCGAAACGCCGCGCCCAGCAGCAAGCAACAGTCTGAGTGTGTGTGTGTGTGTGTTTTTACCGGTTTAGGGTTTAGAAGACGACGTTGGGTTCCTCGCCCTTTCTCTAACCGCTGCAGGCTCGAGGTAGCGAATATTTCGGAGTTATGCGGGTCGGCAGCGCTCTGCTGCTAGCGCCGTAAATGCGAACGAAATGGAAAAGTATTTTGCTTGTGTAAGCAAAAATTTTTCTATGTGCCACCTCGAGTTTTGCAACAGCGTCTCTTGCACAGTACCGCCGGGTGCTGCTTTTCAGGACATGCGCCGTGTGCAATAGCATGCATCGAGTAGTGCAGCTGAATTTTGAACGAATCCCGCGGCCTCACAAACTCAAGCTGTGAGTTCAGGTTGCTCCCCACCCCAGTTGGGAAGTAGCTTGTCGTGTGCAGCACGCCAGTAGGCCCAGTGTTCCTGAAGTGGTTAGTCCTGTGCAGCACGCCAGCAGGCAGTGCTCCTTGAAACAGTTCTCAAAGTCCTTCGTGCATTTTTCTATGCACAGCCTTGCACCCGCTCATGTGTTTGTTCAGCATCACCCGAAAGTGGACGGATACAATCCTGTGCGAAAGTTTCCACGTGAAAAAGAAGAGCAACAGTCCGAGAGTGTGTGTTTTTTTACTGGTTTAGGGTTTAGAAGACTTCTAGACTTTGGGTGCCTCGCCCTTTCCCTAGCCGCTGCATGCCGCTGCATGCCGCTGCAGTGTGGATCGAGGAAGCGAAATTTTCTGAGCAGTTAAGCAATCGGAATGCGTTCAAGCAGGACTCCACTTGGCACAGTTTCACACAGGCATGCTAAGAGTTGCTGACGAACCGTGGTACGGTACAGCTAGTGACCCCAATAGTCTTTCTTGGCTTGGCCATAATATTTGCCAGCGTCCGACATGTTCCCATGAAGGGCGCTCTGAGTACGCTGAGCGCAGACAGCGCTAGGGTGCTGACGCTCCAAGGGCAGCTGATCCAAGAAGTCGTTCTTGCAGAGGAGCTGCAAAAAGCAGAGAACCAGCAGGAGCGGTGTTTGCGGCATCTCGAGGCGGAGGTTCTGGCTGAGGCAGTGGCCGGTCCGAGTTCAGTTGCACGCCATGACTGCAACGATTTTTGAGGCTTCCACCGAGCAGCGCGAAGACCAGAACATGCAGGCGCTGCTGCGGCAGGCCGGAAGCTTTCGGTTTGGGAACGACCATGACCCGCATAGTCTGAGCCTTCGATCCTTGACCCAGGTTCAGACCCAAGAAACTCAGATTGTTTCAGCAAGCCAGATACTCAAAACACGGTCGGAGATCGTCGTCATACTGGCAGGATCATTCGTCGCAGGAGTGGCACTTGATGAAAGTAGCGGTCCTCCGCCGTCTCCAACTTCCAGAAAACCCGTTGAAAGCACTTGCGCGTCCTGCATCTGGCGTTGCTTTTTCACTGACGGCAGGTGCAGGTTCGGAGATGCAGCCTGGGGAGTGACAACCCTTCGGCCACTTCACGCAGCCACCATCCGCAGCTTGGTTGTTGAGAGCTTTAGCAATGCTTGGTGCTTGGGCACTGCGGCTGTTCGGAGGCTGCAATTGCGGCTTGGCCGAATGGAACTGGATGCGCAGGCATTGGAAAAGGCCAGGGACGATCGCATTGACTTTGACTCTTGTTGTGATCCTTGTGCCGTTTTTGTTCCAGGGTGCGGCCAACGCGGAAGTCCTCGAGCACCTCCACGTGCTCCTCACGTCTTTTTGAAGCTTGTTCCTTTCTTCGGAGCCGTGACACCATGACACCAGGCTGAAGAGCAGCGTCTGAGTGACGAAACGAGGAACCGGAGCCCAGGAAAGTACTCGGCTAAGTTTCTGGGGAAGCCACGCAGGAGATTCACAAAGCGCCATAGTTTTGGAGGCGGATAGCTGGGGGGGCCGTGGTGACTCATGCAGATCGGTACAGGTTACCATCTGCTTGCAGTAGATGCCATGCTGTCGCCGATGAAGGATGACCCAGACTTTACGCTGATGCCAGAACAAACTGAACATCTCCAAATCTGCATGCCTTGGCCCGTGCTGTGCAGAAGCACGGTGGCGTCGCTTCGCTTTTCATTGAAACGGCTGTCCAGTCACAGGGCTCAGTCGAGATTCACGGTTCAGGAAAACGTTTAGTGAGCAGCCGATTCGGCCTCTCCGCAGCCCGTCTCCAGCCGTCTTCAGCTCCCATCTCCGCACTGACGTTCACACGGCCTTGCTGCGAGGAGCAAGCGCAACAGCGAGCAGGCTGCATTCGAGGACATGGCCGGGGCCGTCTGTCTGTCTGTCCGTCTGTCTGTCGGTCTGTCCGTCTGTCCGTCTGCGTGCGTGCGTGGCTACATTCAATGCCAAGCCGCCCTCTGTGCAGGAGGTGGAAAAACAACGCTCCGAGATGTTGTCTCTGAAGGCAGAATGCAGCTCGCCCAGATCTGAAATGCACTGAGGCTGAGGATTAGGTTCAGGTCATGGTGGGATGCGATCTTTGCTTAAGGCTCGGCAGCATCGGTTTCGGAGGAGCATCCCTCCAATGAGGCCGTCATGGCTCGAGGCTTTCCATTCCAGAGAAACTGGAAAGTAATGTGGGAAGAGAGGTGGTCGAGCATGAGCTCCGCAACTCTCTTCCTCCCGGACATCCGGCTCTGCAGGGGCCCAACACATGGCTGTGTGATTTTCAGCATAAAGTTGGAGGTCATCCTTGTCACCATGTGTACCGGTCGCAGAGGTGTGTCCTTGTTCTCTTGTGAAGTGGGTAGAGCTGTAGCAGCACCACCCGACCGAACTTCCTCTATAAGTCGAAAACTCGAAACAGTCAGGCCGGGCCACGATACACAAACTTGGCGGCAGGGCCACGCACACACATCTTCATGCGGTGGGTACATGCGCCCAGACATCTCCAAAAGTGCGCCAGACCCTGGCAGGGCCTGAGTCTAGGGACTCACGCCTGACAGAGCAGTGTCCAGTAATGTTGCGCGGGTCAACAGGTCTCGACATGTCAAGAAGTCTGGCGCCACCAAGATTCTATTATTTGCTCTAAACTGTTAGGCTGGAAAAGCTATTCCCAATCTTGCTGTCTCTCAACTGTGCGTAGTCATCCTTCCCCCAATCCCTCCAGTTTGCTGACTCAGAGAGAACTTACCGAAGTTTTCAGAGCATGGCGAAGCCTGCACTTCAATCGGTGAGCGCACATCGATTCATCTGTTGTGAGTGGGCTGTCGGCTCGCAGACTCAGCATTCAGCAACGTATGTCGAAGCTATGTCTTCGTTTGTACAGTCCGTACGGGAACTGCACTGTATGGTGAGGGCGAAAGCAATATCACCTTGTGCAACCTTTGCAGCGGAGAGGCGGCTGAAGCGCTTTGATGACCTTCTCGCAGCATTGGAACTTGAGCCGTTCCCCGAGCATCTGCTGTTCCAAAGTGCAATGTGAAGCAAGCCCCTTCACATCCAAGCCGCCCAAGCCCGAGTTGAGGAAGGAAGAGATTCTGGAAGAGCTTCGTGAAGATGCAGGGCTATGGCAGGCTGCCCGGGCCTGGTCCTGTCAGTGTCGGCCTGGTGCTTTCCGATTCCAGGCTCAGCGGCAAGTGGAAGAGCCCGGTTCTCGAGCACGCACGAGGCCTGGAGACAGCGACAGCGCAGTTCCCAGTCGCAGGCTATCTGGCCAGCTTCGCTTGCTGGAGGCTTCGGGCTTGGTTCGCACGTCGCTCAATCAAACCCTGGGATCGGAGGAGGCCACCCGGCGCCGGGGTCAGCAGAGCCAAGCGGCCTTCGGCTGAGGAATCTTGTGTGATGCCCTCCACGGGATGTCCAGGCGGCCTGCGGCGCCAGTCGGTTTTTGTAACGTTGCAGTCGCTTTCACACCTGGACGGTGGTGTATCAACGGAGTACAAGAGTGAGTGCATGATACTGCATGGGAAGAATCTGAGCTTAACGACGGTGTTCGGTGGGGGTTGGCGCCGCCATGACGCATCTCGTGAGGTCCAGCGCCGGATCCAGCAAGCAGGTGTCTCGTGATGTCTGCAGTTGGTGGAATTGCGGTGGCATCCGGTTCCTGATCTCCTGCCTTTGCAGGACCCGCAGTGGCGGAAGTCGATGACTTGCATGCCCAGGTGCACCATGGGCTGTCTGTTAAGTTAATTTGAAGACAAATGGGTGAGCAGTGTGAGAAGAAACCCTCCCCGCCCAGCGAGGGGGCGGTTTTCTAATTGAGCATAGAACAGCCATGTTTTCAGACTCATCGCCCCGGTCAGACCTGGGCATCGCACGAACAGTCATAAAACGAGCAGGCATGCCCCCAAAACGACTATGTGTTTTTTCAGTAAGTCTTGGCATCCGGCGAAGGGTTGCAAGCTAGTAGTCTTCCGAGAAGGCGAGGACCGAATAATCATTTTCTTCGTCCGGGCACGTTCTGTTACACAGTGTGTTGCTGAGGCAGCGGCCCTAGAAAAGGAGAACGAGATCCTGAGCCGACAACAGGCCGCGGCAGCCTGTCACACATCTCTGGGCCTGTGCCCTGCACCGTCCTGTACTGTTGGGAGGTGGAGTGGCATCGCTCGCAGAACTTGATGCGCCCAGCTGAGACATTCGCAGAGATTGCAGTTTTGCAGATCCTGGCCTCGACGTCCAGGCTCCGCCTTGCAGAGGAGAAAAAGGTTCCAGCGGGTCGCGGTCGCCCTGCAGAGCCAGAGCCAGGAGCGACCTCGGAGCTTGCATGAGATGCAGAGCGCAGAGCGGACTCTGCGAGGACACGGCCAGCCGCCACGCAGCGAGCGCGGCGAGCACAGCCGGGCGGATCTGGAGCAGGCAAGCGGCCGCCCACCGCCCGCGCCGCATGTGTGGAGGTTTTGTTTTCGTTGGCTTGCCTGCAGGTGCTCTCGGCCAACGAAAGCTTTCGTCAGAGGGTCCGGCAACTGCAAGAGGAGAAGGCTGCATGGGGATTGATCGTGTCATGGAGGTACAGGGAAAAGCACTGTGAGACAGTGGGAACTCAGTGTTAGGATGCGTCGGGCTGAAGAGGCGCACGTTTCTTAGGGCATTGGGAGTGCCAGGCCGAGCTCGTTCGCAGTCAGAAGGGGCCGGTGCCTTAGCCTGGGAGCCGAGGCGTCGGCGAAGAGTCTGCAACCATGAAGTTCCCATGAAGTACTCTGAAGCCTAAGGCCTAAAGTCCTAAAGGCCTTAATGTCAGTCGGTTCCAAGCATACGACCAAGGCTGGAAAGCTTCATCCGATCGCGAATGACGCCCGGCATGACTTGACCTGTTAGTGCCAGGCCGTCAACTTCGGGGTGTTGTCTTTACGGAGCTGAGGGGTTGCTTCTTGATGTAGGGCCATCGCGATGGCAGTTAGAAGCAGATTTGAAGATTGCATGCCGAGGACAGCGATTGAGACCAAGCTTGCCGATAACTTCGTAAGTTCGTACCCGCCATCTCCGTAGCTCTCTGCCCGGCGAAAGCAAAACTGCCAGTTGCGGAAACACCCGAGTTGCATATGGTTCTGATCCTCTCGGCCTGCATTGACATGGCTGTATGATCCGAGTGTGCTCGTGCTGGCGCAGCTGTTCAGAGGGGGAGGGGCTGCGTACGGCTGGAACTGGCCTCGGCTCCATTATGGAGGCTTCCTGTGGGCTGAGACGAGTGTAAGGACTCCAACACGCATTGCAGCCTGCGACGCAGGACAGTCTGTACGATGAGTTCGGAAACTATCAAGGTGTGGAGTTTCAGATGGCCGCGATTTCTAGCCCACGTTATCCGTGTCCTTCGACGTCGATCTGTCTTTCCCGGAGGCCCCGATATAGATGACGACGAGGATGAAGAAGATGACGACCTCCTCGGAGGTATAGACGAGGAGGAGAAAGGCAAGGGAGATGATGATGGCACCGGGGTAGGTGTCTGGGCTTAGCTGAGACTACGGACGACCGGGCACATGTTCGGCATTCCACCATGATCGAGATGTGCGTGTCTCCATGGCTTTGGCATGATGTTTTAGACATTTGAGGTGATGTGCCCATGGAGGGCGTTGAGGCGAGTGGTGACAGGTCGCTTTGAGGCAGAGAGACGTCTCTTGAGGATATAATGGAGCAGTTCCAGTTTACCAGTTCTGTGGCTACTGCTTGGGTGATTTTTCGCGTGCCTTGCCGAAGTTGGTCAGTACGGGTATATCGTACCAAGAGCGTTTGTAGCTCATTGTGTGATCTTGGGCCGAGCCCAGGTCGAGAGTTGATGTTCACGGCATGTGTAGACGTTCTAAGACACGATTCTTGCTTATCGGTGTGACATGGCCATGCCGCTGCCGGGATATGCCCTGTTGCTCAGAATGCCCCAATGCAACAAAGCGACACGCTCTGCTCGTTTGTGTCCGAAAGAGGTTGTGCGCCCAAAACTCTGCTTTGCAGATGCAAGTTCTGTGCTTTGGGCAACTCTCTGGGACGCGGAGCCTCTCTAGGGTCTGTCATCATCCGTCGGACACACACCAAGATCGCTACCACACATCAGCCCCTGTACAGATTTCACAGGTCGAACATGTTTGGTGACCTGAACTCCTTCTGCTTGGGCGATATGCATGTATTCGGTACCCAGGTTCTGGGGTCGGATGGCTGATTTGGTTTGAAGACACGTGCTTCACTGATGGTAAAATCCTGTCGCGTTTCTTGACAACGCGCTTGATTCCTAGTGCGGCAGGACTTAGTTCGTTTGTTGAAGCAGTTGGTGGGAGGGAGTGCTCGAGGCGTTCTGGGAGCATAAGCCAGACATATCCAGACGCAGAAGTTCTTGATTCGGTTTCAAGTAGCATTCACCATGGCGTGCTGAAGTTGAGTGAGTCTGGTTGCTTCGTCTTCGCCTTTGAGTGTATTTCAGTGAGATGACACTTGCAAGAGATTGTAATGGATCGCTCTGGACAAGAACTTCTCGCCTTGAGATGTTTTTGTGCCACAGGAGCTGTACCATAAGTTTAAAGCAATATCATCCAATATCCCAAATCCCTGTTAACCGTCACTCCGAAACATTGAGACGTTACCACGGCCCTGAACCCTACACCCAATTAAAAGATCTGAACCCGAGCTCGTAGCCGCCAACCCCAAAACCTTTCGCACATACATCCGAAGCCCTGGACGACAAACTCTTCAGACTGTTTTTTTGCCATCGGGTCGATCCGAGGCAGATCATTCTGCACGAAGACAAGAAGCCGCTGTTTTGGACATATGGAAGGTTTGTTTTCTCACGGTTTGGCGGCTTCAAATGCTGAGACTGCTACTGTAGAACTGTGTCTCTTTCGGTCGCGTTCCGGAGAAACCCGGGCTCAAACGGTCAATGCCTTGTGTGCCAGCTTAGGTATTACCCGGATGCAGAAGAACTCTATGGCGACGCAGAAGCTTTGGTCCAGATGGAAGATACCCAGCCTCTGACGGATCCCATCATCACGCCCGTTCAGTCCAAAAACTTCGACGCCCGGCAATGCGCTAGACATACTTCAGTAGGGTAGCCCATGATTGTCATCCCCGGAATGCTCCTGCCATGTGCAGTGAGGATCTCTTGGAGAAGAAGATGCCGGACACGACCTTTGACTTCAACTTCCTCGCTGCCATGATGGACAAGCCCAACTTGGTTCGTGCCGCGCTGCACATTCCATCTCTTGGTTTATGTGCTGCAGGTGTCTTCTTCATGAGCGCGAGCCGTACATAGCCGCATGCTGAGGAAATATCTGCTTCTTGGGTGCCATGCACCATGGGAAGACCACCTTCATGGACCTCCTTGTGCTGAACACCCACGAGAAGGACTGGAAGGTAGGCAAGGAGATACGCCCCTCGCCGCCATCTCTTTCCTGCCCGGCCTTCGAGGGTTGTGGGGGCGAGGTGTGTGTGTGTGTGTGTGTGTGTGTGTCTCTTTCTCAGGCTACACGGACTCCAGGCAGGACGAGCAAGATCGCGGCATCACGGTGAAAGCCTCCTCCATGAGCTTGGTCTTGCAGGATTCCAAGGACCGCAGCACGAAAGGTCTTGACCGCTTTAGACTTTGGAACCGTCACATCTTGGCTGGCACAGGACAAGTCCTACCTCTTTCATGCGATGGCACCTTGGCAAGTCCAACTGTTCCTTGTCACGTTATCCACTGAACGTGTTGTTCCCATGCCGAAGGACACTCCCGGCCACAGCAACTTCCAGGACGTAATGGCGATTTGGTAAGCAGCTGGGTATCCCGTGCCTAATGCAATGTGAAGGACGAAGTGATAGCAGCTCTGGCTATGGCTGACGGTGTCGTTCTGGTGGTTGACGTTGTTGTCGGCCTGACCCAGCAGCCACCCTGCAGGGAGATGCAAGTGGAATCGCCGTACATCCGTTTCCATGCCCAGTAAGCAACAGAAGGTGTCGTGCGAATCTGTGACCCAGGCACATCGAGCGAATGCTCAAACACGCTTTTCAGGACAACCTCAAAGTTCCCCGGTTGCAGGAGGGTCTCTTTCTCTCTGCACATGCTTGATCTCGCGTCCTGGCGAGGTAGTTCTCGTCATTAACGGCCTCGATCGCCTCATCATGGAGCTGAAGCTGCCTCCCACAGATGCTTATCACAAGTGCCTTGACGGACGAATGAGCTGGGAAAGCAGACGCAATGAGAGATGCAGATGCAGAAGCGTTTCTTCGGCACGGAGTGACGTGTTGTAATGTGCTGTGTGGAGGCTGCGGTACTGCATCGAAGACATCAACGAGACCATGGAGAAGCTCTACGACTCGGCCTGCACCTCCCAACGCCCCTCTTTCCAAGCGTCCCTGCTGCCTTCGCGCTCCGCTTCAGGCAGGAACGGAAGTCGACGAGCGAGTCTACTTTTCGCCGCTGAAGGGGAACGCTTCGGCCTCAGATTGAGCTTTAAACGGGATAGTCTCAGTGCAGCAGCACCTTCACTTCTTCTTTTGGTGGCGATTGCTGTTCCCAGGTGATCTTCTCCTCGGCTCTGTTCCGACTCTGGGCTGGCGATGCAGAATGCAGACTCGATTGAGGAGAAGAAGTTGGTTTTCTTGTTCTATCTGAGGAATGGTGTTCACCTTGGAGTCATATGCTGCGATCTACGCAGAAACGCATGGTTTCAGTTTTGACCACCTGATTCTTGCGAAATGCCTCTGGGGAGACATGTACTACAACGTTCCTTAGCTTGCATAGCACAGACGTTCCTACTCGGAGTTTACTCGACCGCGTGTTCGCAGAGTTCAAGCAGAGGCCGACGAGCGCAAGTTTCAGAAGACCCCTCCAGATGCGGAGCAGCCGCGCTCCTTCGTCCAGCCGCCAGCCTGCAGAGACTGCAACGGCAGAGAGCAGAGTGCAGCAGAGCGCAGCGTTGTGCAGCGGGATCGCTGCTTCCGCGACCATCTTCCCGAGGTTCGTCTTGGAGCCGATCTACAAAATCTTCGCCCACTGCCTCGGTGAGGAGAAGGAGGACCTCGCGCAGACTCTGGCAGAGGCAGCAAGAGCAGCACACAGCACGGCAGCACACCAGTGTGGCTCTGGGCGTTCTCCTTGCAGGTGGGCATTTATCTCCACAAGCGAGACTATGAGCTGGACGCCCGAGCGTTGATCCGCAAAGTCTTCCAGCAGTACTTCGGCTCCGGTGGAGGTGGCCCGTCCAGCTCCTGAAACTATGAGAGATATGAGAGAGAGAGAGAGAGAGAGAGAGAGAGAGAGAGAGAGAGAGAGAGAGAGAGAGAGCGCGTCTTCTCCTCGCAGGCCTGCCGTCCTTTGTTGACATGGTGTCTTGGCCGAACTGGGTAGATGTTTGTGAACAGAATACGAGCATCTTCCTGGTGCGAGGTTGTGCGGCACATCCCGAATCCCAAGGAGATCTGCCGCAGTCAGTCTTTCAGAGAGGGTGTCGTGAATGTACGATTGATGTCATTTCTGTGCTCGCTTCTGCAGGAGAATGCTGCCATAAAGGCCAGTATTGCTCTGATTGCGGGAGTTTACGGCTTGTAGGCGGCTCCAGTAGACATGTCGGGTGTTCGACTGCGAACCTGCCGATGCCAGGTAGAGAAGCTGTACTCGGGAGACCAAGACGGTGCAGTGTCAGAAGACATGAAGAAGCTGGATACCACAGGTGGCTCTGACATGCCCTGTGAGTTCTACAGTGTTTCAGTTCCGTGCTCCTCTTCCTCAGGATATCTGATGCTTCATGTGGCGTCCTGACAGCAAAGTAGCTGCTTGCGGCAGCTTCTGCGTCCATATTATGTGTGTGACTTTGAGACCTTCCGCCGCTGCCTTGCATTCGAGGTGAAGCAGTACCACAGACCCGATTGCAATGCCTTTGACGTCTTTGGCCGTGTCCTTTCCGGCACAGTCTTCCGTGGTGATCGTGTGAAGATCTTGGGCCGCGAGGCTGCATGGTGGCTTTTGGTATCTGAAGGTTCTGGAGTTTTTTACAGGGTTGTCTGCTGTGAAGAGCCCAGGAGAGACATACTCGCTGGATGACGACGAGGATATGGCAATCAAGGAGATCCAAAATCTCTGGATCCTCGAGGCTGGGCTGCCTCGCTTTCTGACCCTCTGCACTTTCCTTTGTCGCTAAGGGCCGGTATCGTGTGGAAGTTAGCCACGTCCCAGCGGGAAATTGGGCAACCTGGCCGTAACTGAGACTCGACCGCAGAGCCCATGTCGCAAACATCGGCCGGGCAGGTACTTATAGGAGGCATTGAGACGTGCATCAAGAAGACGGCGACCATCACCACTGCCTCGAACGAGGAAGAGGCCAGGCATGCGAGCATCTGCCAGCATGCGAGCTTCTGGGAGCGTGTGACGTCCCAAGGTCGAGATCTTCCGACCACTGCGCTTTCCGACGACCCCGGCTCCCGGCTCAGTCCGGGCTGCCCCAGAACCGTTACAGAAGTTGTTGGGATCTACGATGACACGGGCTCACTTGTATTTGAGTCCCTGAGTGAGCAGCGCAGACACTCGAAAACGATGGAAACGTATCCTCCAAAGGCGCACGGTGGCGCACCCATGGGAGCTTGCTTAGGTCATCAAGGTCGCCATCGAGCCACTGCAGCCTGCGGAGCTGCCGAAGATGGTGGATGGCCTGAGGCCCTGGCAGCTGCACCGAGAGCGCAAAGAAGCAGCCAGGGCTAGAGATGGCCGCCTTCGCCCGCAGGAAGATCGACAAAGCTTACCCACTCTCGAAGACCAAGGCTCGGAAACCGGAGGGGCAAAGACGCACTTGGAAAGCTAACACCGGATCCAGGTGGAAGAGAGTGGCGAGCACCTTGGCTGCATGGGCTTGTCGCCCTTCTTGTCGCAGATTGGCGCCTTACGTTCTTTTTTGATCGCATCCAGCGCCTGGATCTGCGCACCCAATTCGCGCTAATTCGCTGTTTGCAAGAACTCACGCCCTGCAGAGCTCTATGTTCCACGGTCTACAGACAGAGCGCAGGCATGTGCTGCTGGGCACTGGCGAGGTTTACCTGGACTGCATCCTTCACGACCTTCGAAGGCCAGGGTAGAAAAATCTCAGGTCATTAGATGCCAGATGAGCATGAGTGAGAGGTTTCGGGCTTAGCGGTTTTGGGTGTGTTCTGTAACTGAGGCTGTATGGCGATCTGGAGATCAAAGTGGCGGATCCCGTCGTAGAGTTTTGTGAGACAGTGGTGGCACTCCGGCTCTCGTTGGTCATGGGATCCTGCTTGCATGTTGCAGCCCAGTTCTGTTGTGCTGCATGACTCGATGCTTGAGGAGACCAGTTCCCTGAAGTGCTTTGCAGAGACGCCGAACAAGAAGAATAAGCCTGGACCCTTTTCGTGGTTTCATGGCCATCCCCGCAAACTTCGCACACGTCGCTGAGGATTTACATGGTGGCCGAGCCTCTGGAGAAAGGGCTCGGCGAAGACATCGAGAAGGGCAAGGCAGGGCGGTGTCCCGTCCATGGTTGCTCACATGCGCAGAGTTGGCAGGTTAGCATCGAGTGGAACAAGCGCCGCATGAGCGACTTCTTCACGAAGAACTACGACTGGGACAGCATGCAACTTCATAACCTCCAGAGCCAATTATGCTGCTCTGTCCCTGCGCTGGCGAGGACCTCTTGGCATCCAGATCGGTTTGGGCATTTGGCCCGGAGGTGTACGGCTCGGAGCGCCTCACTGCGAGTCGCGCTTCGATTCAAAGCTTAATGGACCTGGAGGTGAACGGGCCCAACGTCCTGGTCGACGATTGCCTGCCGAGCGAGGCGAAGTTCTCTCGGCGAGCGCAGCGCGGCCTCTCAGAATTTGCTGTCAGAGGTGAACAAGAGCTTGCTCGTTCAAAGCAAAGACAGTTGAGAGCTCAGCACGACCTGAGATTTGCCAGTCCTGCCATGCAGGGGCTTCCATTCAGGCTTGGTGCAGGGCTTCCAGTGGGCTACGAAAGAAGGTCCACTCTGTGATGTGCGCTTCTCAGTTTCACAGAGTCCAGAGAAGCACTCACTGAATGTGGCTGACGCTTGTCGCGATATGCTTCTCCATACTCCTGGCATCCTCATCCTCGCGTCGGCCAGGAAAAGATTCGCAGCTGCAAGTTCAAGATCCTCAATGCTCAAATGGCAGAGGATGCGGTGCTGCGCGGTGGCGGCGGCTTGGCAGAGATCCGCAAGGGTGTCCGTTTCTTGAAAGCGTGACGTCGGCCTGAGGCCAGATAATTCCCACAGCCCGGCGGGTGGGCGGCTCAGTGACCGGGAAGTGGTGGCTGAGACATTGAAAGTTTCCTTTAAAAATCCGTCGGTTCCTGGGGGCCTTTGCTCCCGTTCCTAGAGGTGGCCTACTCGGCCTTCCTGCTGGCGACTCCTCGTCTCATGGAGCCGGTGATGCCGCTGTGCCGAAGCAGAGCTCAGAGCTTCCTTGCACTGTGCCAAAGCTGGGGAACTACGCCGATGCTCTCCAGGGGATTGGCAGAGTGAGGGAGTCGCCTCAGCTCTGTGCCTTGATCTGCAGGTTCTCGGACATCGAGTGCCCGGCCGACTGCGTAGCTGCCATTTACAACGTGCTCTCCAGAAGGCTGTGGATGCCCAAACACTCCAGCTTTCAAAGCGAAGTGCGGAAAGAAGAGAGAGCGAGAGAGAGAGAGAGAGAGAGATAAGTCCAAAAATCGGGGAAAGACATCATTCAACATGGACCTTAGGGGGTTTCCATTGCTAAGTGTGTCCACTTTTGTTTCCTTTTCCAGAAGAACGGGAATCCCACTGAGCTCAGTATGCATGTTGTCTGAGTAGCGTCAACAGCATCCATGGCCGATCCCAAAGTTAGCATCAAGACTTGTAAGCCAACCATGATTCGCAACCTGTCGTGAGACAGGGGGAACTCCCCTCGGCGATCCTCCGACATCTTACCCCTCATTTACTTAATATTCTTTTTCGAAATTGCTGGCAAAAAGACGGCCTTGATCCAGTGTCCTTGATAATGTACGTGCACCTTTTCACTGACATCCCTGTAACATAGTAGCTTTTGCGCTCAAAGGGGCACTACATTCGCTACTCACTCCCCTTTGCTCGATAAAGATTATCGGGTGGGCTTGAAGCCCGGGGGATTTGACCATCCCCTAAGCCCGGAAGAAGAAGAGAGACGGCCATCCGTCAGTCCGAGCTGTGGAGTGGGGGACTGCTGTCCTGGCTGCATACCCATGACCATGAAGGAGGACATGCGATCGTTGCAAGAAGCAAGGCAAAGCTCAATGCCAAACACAACCTGGAACCACGAGTCCTGAACCGCCTCCGTCGCCAACTGAAAGCGACCTGATGGCAGCACTGGAATGAAGCGGCTGCCGCGGAAGTAGCGGCTGCTCGTGCTCTTTCGTCTGTGTTGAAGAAGAGAGAGAGAGAGAGAGAGAGAGAGAGAGAGAGGCGGGGTTACAGCTCGGAAATCTGAAGCATACTCGGTAGCAAGTACAGCGGTCAGTGGCACCCCAAAGCCGTCCACTCAATAAGCCAGGGGGTGGACGGGCGGGCTGAAAGCCTGAGGGTCACGACAGTGACCCCTAAGCCCGGCAGAAAGAGAGAGAGAGAGAGAGAGAGTGCTCAGTCGGGGGATGCAGTCACATGTGAACTGTACCTTTGCGACCTTGCAGCCAAAGACAACACGTCTTTGCTTCTTTCCCTTGAGCCCGTTAGTCCAGGTCAGCAGTGCGAGTGTGTATCGCGTTTGATCGGTGTACTTTGCTGTTGTTGACTGAGCACTCTGGCGTGGGGGACGTCGTCTGCTGCTACACAGCCGAGCCCCTGGGTGCTAACCACCTGGGGGAACTGGACTCCCTGCGAAACCCGCGGGGGTGCGTGCGCGCACGGGGGGGTTGCCGGGACGCTGCAGCCCCTCCAAGCCCGGTAGCAAGCAAGCAAGCAAGAGGGCCCCGATTCGGACGAGCTGGCCTAGGCCCTAGGCTGAAACATATACCTCTTGAAGCTAGGAGTTGGGGTTCTGGGACTCGGGATCTTCGGAACCGGGTGCTCCGTGACTTGTCGCATGATGGCGCATGCCGACTGCGGACTCGTGCCTTGGGCACAGCTTGGGCATACCGCTGTGCACGTAGGAGGGAGGGGCTTCGCGCCCCGACTCCAAACGCCTTGCAAGCAAGCAAGCAAGCAAGCTAGCAAGCTAGCAAGAAAGCAAGAAAGCCAGCCAGCAAGCAAGCAAGCCAGCGAGAGCGGGGGAGAAAGACAAAAAGAGTTCCAGTAAAGGGGGACTCAACAATGCAACCGTTGGCCTCATCACGTTGCCTACGCAACAGCGGACACCCGGGGCGTGCTGGCGGGGGGGAGGGCCTTTGGCTGTGTGGAAGAAGAGAAAGAGAGAGAGAGAGAGAGAGAGGGGGTGTTGTGGTGGGGGAACCTGTGAGTCGGTCCTGTGCGATTCTCGGTCTTTCTCTTGTTCCTGTACACACCCCAGTGCGCGATATCGCGCGAGGGGTAGCGTGAACGCGTTGCCCCTCCGACTGTGCTGAAGAAGAGAGAGAGAGAGAGATAGAGATACAGATAGAGATAGAGAGAGAGAGAGAGAGAGACCAGCAACGACTGGGCGGCAAGCTGAATGCTAGGATTTGGGGGTTGGGTGTGGAGTTACCGAAAAACAAACTGGTTCCGGGCAGCCCACACAAAGTCTCACGCTGACACAGACCAAAGACACCAGCGTAGCGCGAGAGCGCAGGGGACGGGTTTCGCTCGTGCCCCTCAAGCTGTGCAAGCAAGCAAGCAAGAGAGATAGATAGAGTGAAGAAGAAGCAGCAGAGGAGGAACCGAACGAGCAGCAACAGCCAGTTTGGCTCAAGTAGAGAAAGACGACAAGAGAAACGCCAAGTGGGACTCGTTCCTGGTTGGTTCAGAGACGGTGGCTTTTGCAGGTGACAAGTAAGCAGGGACCCTGAACTAGCAACACCTACAGTGCGGGGGACTCAACAAGCCCCCTTTGCTCCGAGTCAGCCTGAAGCCAGGCTCATTGAGAGACCATCTCGCCAGGGCGTTTTCGTTACAAAGCCGACTGCCTGCAATTCCTTGTCAAGCCGGAGTCGGAGCGTAGAGAGACATTCTTTTGCTTCCTTTTCACTCTGGAGGGTAGAGAGGCTTTCCTACAACTCGGGGGACGCAACATGAGATTTCAATTTTGGGAGCCCAGACCGGTATAGCTAAGTTGAAGCACCAACATACTCGTGCCCGGCTAGGGTCAAGGACCAGTGCTGGCATGGGGGCAGAGGATTGCTAAGCTATCTCATGGGGACCTTCCCTTCGTTTCCCCATATGAGAGAGAGTCCAAGACGACCCTGAGGATGCAACTTGCCCTTGCCCCACAGGCGTGGTCACGTCATTCGAGACCTGCCGAAGCCAGGTAGCCCAATGTACTCGGTCGGGCTCCCAACGTGTCTGCCTGTCTTTCATGAAGAGGGCCTCAACCTACACGGCTGTAAGGGGTTGTTGATGCTGCTGGTGGGGTCAACAAATGGTGAGTAGGACTGATTGCAGGAGGAGGAGCGGTACGCCGCATCGACACGTGGTTCCCATTTTCTCCAAAACTCTCTGATCTATCGCTTTCAGGTGCATGCATATTTGCCCGCCATGGAGTCTTTCGGCTTCGAGACGGATCTCAGAACGCACACATCCGGACAGGTGGGGTCATAGTTCCTTGGGGTGCTGGGGCCTGTCCAAAGCAGGAGAAGTTTCCGCAACGGCAATCCATTGCCAGGCAATGTGCCAGACCTTCTTCGATCACTGGGAACATGTTCCTGGCGATCCGCTGGATCGGTCCATCCTGCTGCCAACTCCCCAGACTGAGCGTTCCCATGTCCGTGCAGCATTTTGCCGTGCTCAGGCGCCCGCTGGAGCCGGCACCTGCGCCGCACCTGGCGCGCGAGTTCATGCTCAAGATGAGACGGCGAAAGGGCCTGAGCGAGGACCCTGACCAGAGCCGTTGACATCTAGAATCTGGAACCGCCAAACCGAAGACCTGAAGGGCAGACCCTTCCTGGCCAGGACGTGTCGGTTCACAAGTTCTTTGATGATCCGATGCTTCTGGAGCTCGCGAAGCAGGACCACACCCTGCACCCAAGAGCTGTCACCACATGGCAGGAAGCTTCTTGTTGACACATCGCCGGTATCCACTGGAAGCACGCAGGACGCCGAGCTCAGCTCCTACTTCTGAGCGCTTTCGTAAGCGCAGCATCGCAGTCCCGACACACCACCGACGCTACGTATGCAATATGTCAAGAGCTAGCCCCAACACTGCTGCGTTAACACGGATCTTGAGAGACTTGGAGGTAAAGGGCAGCAGTTGCCAATCGCACTCTCCGCATCTGCTTGTTAGGTTTGCCATATGTTACAAGAGTCTCAACCATGCCATCCTGCGACAACACCGAAGTCTACGCCAGGGTGCTAGAACGACAAAGTCCCATCCCACGTTCGTGGTGTGTAATGACCTGGGCTCTGTCTGGTGCAGTGATGCGACGACTGTACCCGGTCCGTTAAGAAACATTGTGGTCGTGCGCTGGCACTGCAGCAGGCGCTTTTCGTTTCGGCCTTGTGGAATATCTAGAGTGGTCCTGTCCTTCCCAGGCAGCTGGGCTCAAGATCAGTCGTGGTAGTCAATGATGACCACGCTGCTTAGCGCGCTTCTGCTCGCAGGCGTGTCTGGGCAACCGGATGTGGTGCCATTGCAGCATCATCCGCGGTATCCGGGAAACCTGGACTCGACTGCCCTCGGCAATCTGAAGCAGAAGAACGTCTTGGACCAGGAGCTTGACTTGAGCATCACGCGTGCCCATGCGCTGGTGGCAGAGCTCTTCGTGGGAACGCCACCGCAGAAGATGACCTGTTTGCTGGACACGGGCAGCTCTGACCTTTGGATCCCTTCCAAGCACTGTCAAAGCTGCGAGAATCAGCACCTCTTCCATGCCGACAAGTCTTCGACCTTCGTGCCCGAGCTGCACGAGACAGCACAGGGTCGGCGCCCCTTAGCAGTGCGTATCAGCTATGGAAGCGGCCAGATCACTGGCTACAAGGTGCAAGACACGATCAGCTTCGGAGGACAGGGTTCATGAGTAATAGATTTAATAGGTTCTTCAAGTGATCAGGAACACGGTAGCGTTAAAGTAGCTTACTTGCCACATGGAAAGCCAGGGCACACGGTCCGCAACCAGACGTTTATCATCGTTGAAGATGCCCTCCTTCCTCCAGACCGAGACTGGGACGGAATCTGCGGTCTGGGTTGGGAGACCATCTCGCAGCTCGGCCAGCCACTGTATACCAGGTTCCAGGAGATGGGTTTCAAGGCCGGCCAACAAACAAGCAGCTTGGGCTTCATTTTGATTGTTGCCTCTGGGATTCCTGCTCGCTAGGCGATGTTCACCTTCGTGCCGCAGGGCAGCCGTTCTGCGCATCTCTCGGTGGGCCCCTTTCCCCAGCATGCGGTCAAGCCTGGCACCACGGTCTGGGCGGACGCCGAAGCCGCAGGTATTCACGGAGGCGCAAAGGAAAAGAGCCCAAAGCGAAGCGAAGCCCGAAAGGCCGAAACTGTAAGAACTAAGAACCAGTGCAGTGTGAGCCACCCTTTGCATCTCTTTGCCGACGAAGGGCAGCGGAGCTTCTGGGTTACCACCGGCGGCATCGCAGTGCACAAGCAGACGCCTCATCCGGCCCGCTTCCTCGTGGACACAGGCCTTAAGTGCCTGCTTGAGGGCGACTAGCTTATCCTGCCTTCGGGCTGCAGACTGGTCGTTGACACTGTGTTGCTTCCAGGCACAAACCAAGTGCTGCTAGCCCCGCGGCGCCTCTACATCAGCATCATGCGGTCGGTTCTGCCGAAGGATAAGCTCCTTGCCTCAGACTTGCAGGTTTTCTAGCTTGGATCCTTCCTTAGTCCCGGCATGCCTGGGTCGATGGGACAGCAAGGACAGCGCACCCGCTTCAGCATTCTTCAATGTCGGTTTTCGGGTTCCGGCTTGACCTTGTCGTCTGTGGGGTGCATAATCCGCAGTTAATCCGACATGACAATCGGCAGTCGAGGTTCAATGATCTCTGTGGCGTTGATCACATGAAAGGCGGCATTGTCTTCTGTGACTGCTCTATTGTGGAAGCTTCGCGAGACCTGCCGCCACTCCGTATCTTTATCGCAGAGCACCCATTCGAGTTGCCGGTCGAGGAAATGTTTATCCGGGTGCCAGCCAAGAATGGCTTCGGAGAGGCTTGCATGCTGGCCATTCAACCGAACAATGTCGAGATCGGGAGCGGCTTGGGACCCGGCGTGCCTCTTCCGCTGCCTTTCGGCCTCGGAGGCGGGCCCGGCCAAAACTCGCAGACGGTGGACGGTGTAACCTTTTTTGGAGTGTCGGGTTTGATGTTTGTCTTTCTGCTGTCTTCCTGCGCTGACAGGGCTACTGCGAGACCTGCCGAAGCTGGACGGCTTTCCTTTTCCCTTCCCGAAGCTTGGTCCTCTCTTGGGCGAAACCGAGCCCAGCTCGGGTTCGACCGCGCCGGCTGCGTCTCCCCTTGAAGGGCTGGACATGCCTCTCTTCGGGGAGGGCACAGCAGGCAAGGGTGCGCTGCCCCTGCCCAAGCTCCTACCTCTCTTTGGCGAGAAGGGCTCCGGAAACTCAATGCCTTCACTCGGAGGCCTTCACATCGGACCCCTCGGTAAAGGGGTCTTGTCAGAGCAGGTTCAGGAGCAAATCCACACTCGCCCGGATGGGACGGTGTGCAAAACTACCATCGTCGTCGTCAATGGCAAGGAGAAGAGTCGTGACTCGGAAGCAGTGGTCGGCATTTCGGCATCTGCAGCCTTTTGTTTCCCACTGAGCATCTCTAATGTCCAGTGGATTGCCCGTGTCGCGAGCTGGGGATATTTCATGTCTACATATCTGTATTTTCAACTAAATATTCCCGCTGCCAGGCCCTTGAGTCTACAGTTTAGCTTCGCAGTTGCACACGGAAAGCCGACCAAATTCAAACAGGTTCTGGAGAGCCGATCCCCGCCCCCACCCCGGTGGACAAGCTAGGCTGACAGAGGAGGATCTATCATAGACTCCTCTTTCGCAAGTTTGAGGTAGGTCGATGTAAGCCAATGTAAGCAAGGACGATTTCGCATCTGTGGCAAACAATTCGAACAATCCGGCAAGGACGTGTTGATCGATGTCACTGACAGCACGAAAACGATCATATAGACGTCACGTCAGGCCAGGTAGGGAACCTTTGGATCGTATAGACCAAGGAGAGGAGGGACAACTATCTAAGATCAGTTGTAGGAAGCCTTTCCTGGATATCTTTAGGCAGGCCAAGCACAATACCTTCTATCGAGTCTGTTAAAGTCCAGAGCACAGTTAAGGGAGCTGCTGTAGCGACCTGCACGAAGCAAATGATGAACTCGAGTTGGGCCTGAATGGGGCGAGGCATTAAGCCTTGCATAATGAACAAGAACCTCTCGAGCTCGAGAATCTCAGCGCTCACATCTTCGGATGCAAGCTTCACAGGCGAGTCAGGGAGCCAGTCACAGCCATGTCGGGTATATTCTTGACACCATTTGGGCGACTGCATTCGAGCCTCACGAAGATCAGACAGATCCGGAGCAACTTGCATCTTCAACAGCCCCCCATGGTCCTCACAGACTGCAGAAGATTGGTCGATCACTTAGATGCCGACATCCCTGCTACTTGTTAGTAGGGCACAGATCGAGCTCAGTGTTCCGTGACACTCGATCTTTGCCGACGACGTGGATCGGCGACCGGGTAGATACAGCGACGCAGGCACAGATTATTTCGCAAAGAGCATGTTGCCTGATTACGTAAGCAAGAATATCGCATCATATCCGATCGTTGTACAGCATCAGTAGTGCGCAACCCTGAGCACGCAGAGAGCCAACACCGCACATGGGTGGCATCCTGAATATGGACGGCAGCAGTTGAGCAAGCCGCAGACGCCACTCAGGACTAGCACTACCTTTACTGGAGTGCAGTCATGTGGCTTGAGTGACAGATTAATCATTAATCGCTACAAGAGAACAGATTGTGTGAAACCGACAGTGCATGTTAGCCGTCTACAGTCCAGGTTCGCGGTTGAAACAGAAGAGCCGACGGAAATCGATAACAGGTTGCACGAGAGCCCCAAACCCGAGAATCTTTGGTCCCACGACCTTTAAGCCAAAACCCACTATTCGCGTTTCCTGCACGTCTTGTGAGGAAAGGAAGACTGCTCGAAGCCTCGAGTAGACATGGCCGACGAGGTTAGGCGGCTGCAGCTGGTGGTTCCTATGGCACTTCGCCTGGAAATACTTGATCCGTACACATGCATAGTTAATCCGTTATTCAACGAGGTGAGTTCAGTGTTTTGGGGCAAAGCCCGACCCGAAAGTCAAAGATCCCCAGGGCGGCATTCTGGAGCTGCCGCTGGATCCATCGGGTGATGCGAGTGACCAAGACGAGGGTGCCGATGCTTGGGCTGAACTTTCTTGCGGTGTAGGGTTCCCGGTCTAGGTTCGAAACACTTCGAAACACTCTTTGGCCCTGAACGTGCTGTGAGCTCTTGAGGGGCTCAGAGTTTGCCCGGCCGAGGAAATGTGGGTTTTAGGCGGCATGTTTCTGCAGCGGTTCGTCGTGTCCTTCGACTTCGACCAGGCGCTGCAAAGTGCGCGTCTCGATGGTCCCAGGATTCTTCAAAGCAGGGGTCTACATTCAGCTGCACACGGAGCTATTGTTCCAGAGTCTTCCCAAGCGCATCCTTTGTCTCGAAGCCTGCCCGTGATTGGCACATAATGTAGGGTCTCGTAAAGTATGCCGTATCCTGGTCATGACAAGTTGGCAGCACAATGCAGCGGAGGCTCAATGCGGCACAGCGCAGCGTCATGTTGAACAGTGCCGCCAGGGTCTGTCTGACGCAAGGTAAGCATGTGTCCGTGGAATCTCCGGACTTGCAGATCCTTGTTATTTTGCACTTTTGTGATTAAAATGAGGCAGATCTTTTTCGATTCGTTTCTGTGAATCAGCTTGCTGGTGCCCTGTAAGTTGCATCCTCTGACTTGTGTGGCTTTTCGGCTCTATGCCGGTAGGGCCCTTGAGTCTTAATGATTACCGTTGCGAAGCATAGAAAACAGCCATTGCATTTGCCGACGCTTTTAAACTCCGTGCTGTCATCAGTTGGCAGCGGAGCTGCGGTTGCCAGGGACCCCTGCGATCTGGGCCAGCAGTACCCCGAGGTGTCTCTCGACTACACGATCCGCCGGGAGCTCTACTTCTCCGGCGCTCTTCTCCACGACCGCGTCTTCTACCCGATTCTGCAGGAGAAGGTCGTGCCGGGCCTCAGCTAAGGAGGCGTTCTGGGAGCACGGGCCGTGATGGCCCAGTCGGGAGAAGGAGGCTGGACTTATCGAGATAAGGACCCCCCTCCGGGCTATGACGGTGCGAACCCGCAAAGCACCTTCAAGCCTTACCTTCGGGACTTGGAGCTATGGCAAGCTGCTTTGGATGTGCCAGAAGAGAAGCAGGGCTTGAAGCTGGTCCAGGTCTTGACCGGGGCAGCCAAGGCGGCGGTCGACACCCTCACCGTGAAGGAGATTAAAGGCGCCGACGGTTACCCCAACGTGATAAAGAAGCTGAAGGAGGCGTTCAAGCCCTACGTGGAGACGGCCCTCCCGCGGGCCATGGAGAACGCTTTCTACGGCCAGCCGCGCGGGCACAAAGAAAGTGTGAGCGAGTTCTTGGTGGGCTTCCAAAGGGCGCAAGCTGTGCTCAAGGATGAGGGCATCACTCTTCCCACCAAGGCGGTGGGCTACCTTCTGTTCAGGCAGGCCAACTTAGACCACGAGTTGGAAGCCAGGCTCGTTACCTGGCTGGCTGGCGACTACTCCCTGGACACTGTGATCACCAACCTGCGCCGGCTGGAGAGGGAGACTTCCGAGCCGGGCAAGAAGGTCTTTTTTGGAGAAGAGGAGGACCCAGAGGACGAGCAAGAGGCGCACGGCTATGAGACCTACATCGCCGACCCGGCCGAGGACGACGACGATGACGAGAACTGGGTGTACCTTGAAGAGGGCCAGCTGGACGGCACGTTCGACGAGGATGAGGTCTTAGAGGCCCTTGCCACCTACCAGCAGGTCCGCAAGCAGATCAAGGAGCAGAGGCTGGGCCGGCAGTTTTACAAGCCGGGCGACGCCGGCAAAGGGAAGGGCTGGTGGTTCCAAGTCGGCCGGCAAGGGCGTCTTCAAGCCGAAGGGTGGTGGAGCCAAAGGAGGCAAAGGAGAAAGCCGACGGATCCACATAGAGCAGCTGAAGCTGCGCACCAGGTGCCGCAACTGCGGCCAGCTCGGCCACTGGAGCCGCGAGTGCAAGTCGCCTTCTACCGGGGCCCCTTCTTCGGTGTCTTCGTCGGCGGCGGCTTCGAGCTCCCAGCGGTCAAGCTTTTACTGGACCATGCCGCAGGACAAGCCTCGCATGGGTACGTTCTTCACTTTCGGCGACGCTCTCCGGATGAAGAAAAAGGGCCGATGTGATTGAAGCCCTTTCCTCCTTTGTTGTCACAGCCGAGCACCAAGCCCTAGTGGACACAGCCGCGCAAGAAGGTCTCATAGGTCGCAATGCTCTTCTTAGGTTGCTCTCGGTACTTCGGCCCCACAATCTTCGAGCACACTGGTTGAACAAAGAAGCAAGCGCTCGGGGCATAGGAGGCTGCGCTCGTGCTCTTGGCATGTGCGGGCTGCCGGTCGTGATTGCGGGCATAGCAGGGGTGCTAGAAGCCACCGTGGTGGCAGACGATGTTCCCTTGTTGTTGCCGGTGTCTTTGCTGAAAGCCCTGGGTGCCATTGTGAACCTTCCCGAGTCTAAGCTCCAGCTCACCGTGGTGCAAGCCGAGACCCCTATGAGTACCATGGCTTCGGGTCACCTTGCAGTCTCGGTTGTTGACTTCGGGGAGCAGGGTTGGAGTTTGCCTTCGGCGTGTCAGGGAATAAGGCAAGACCAGGACTTCCGCTTGAATGGAGAACGCGGTCGTCGGCAGCAATTTGGCTTTCACTCAATGTGTGCGCCCCTCGCTCCCGGTGATCCTGCGCAACATGCTTGCCTCCCGTGCGCTTCAGGCCGAAGCCAGAGCGAGACCGGACAAGGTGGGCTTTAAGAAACTGGCGGGTCATCTTGGACAGGCTCTACTCGGTTGTGCTTTGGGGGCGGTTGCGTTCCGGCGGTGTCGGATTGGATGGGCCCAGCACCTTTGCCGCGGGCTACGAGCCAACCTTCGACAGCTTCCTCGGGAAGCATGGTGGTGGCGCCGACCGACAAGGCCAAGTTCTACCGCACCTACCTCGACGGCAACCCCAAGCTTGCCGAGCGGGAGGAGAAGATGGAACAGCTGCAGGCGCAGCTCGACCTCCTGACGGGCAAGGCCATGGAGTTTCAGATGGCCGAAGATGCGCGCGCTTCGTTGGAAATGGCGCTCAGCAGCATGGAGGAACGCATGAGGACCACGACGACCCAGATCACCACCGAGTTCCGCAGGCTGCAGATGGCGGAGTCAGAGACGCGGTTCAAGAGCAACCACTTCCCCACCAGGGACACCCGGGAGGAGTGGATCCAGGCGGCCCAGAATTACAAGAAGGCGGCCGAGCAGATCCTGGCGTTCTACCAGGACACCCTGAACCAGCGCTCTCAGCTGGCGTCCCTCTTGATGAGGGGAGTTTAGAAGGGCACCGGGCCGGTGCCGAGCCATGGTGCTGAAGCGTTCCTCGCCGGCTTCTTTTGAAAGGGCTGGCGAGACCTGCGCCGGGGCTTGCCGACTTTGTGGTTGTGCAGGCGGGCTCTCGGCTTCTGAGGCGCGACCGGTGTGATTTCGCCACGCTCTCCCCGTGGTGAACGAGCCCGAGCTGTACCTCCAGTCCAGGACTCCATGGACGACGGCTTGCATACCACGGGGACCTGTGCGAGTGGGTGGCTTTGCTGGCGCACGGGCCAGGCGAGCCGGGCCGTAGTAGCGAGACCTACTTGGGAGAAGGTGCCCCGGAAGCACACGATTGGGAACGGTGGCACAGGATGCGCGGCGAGACCCTTCGCCTGACTATGGCCGAGCCGGGCGCAGCCGATCATGTGTGGCGGTTGGCCAGGGCTCAGTGGAGACGGGGCGGCACCTTTGTCATCGAGCTGAAGGCCCAGCCCAAAAACCATGAGCCGTGGAAGCAACTTCGTGCTCAGGTCCTGGGTTCTTCGGCCGCCCAAAGGCTTCTGGTGCTGGGCTATGACAAGGAAGCGCCCCAGAGCAACCCCATCGACCTGGACAACGTGGAGGAGATCGAGCGAGACGAGGGGGAAGCAAGCACTCAAGGAGTTAAGGAGCCAAGCCGGCAGGAGAAAGAAGCGGTCGAGAAGCTTCACCGGAACCTGGGCCACCCAAGCAACGCTTCTTTGGCCCGGACCCTAAAGGTGAGCGGCGCGGAGGAACACATATGGCGGTGGGCGAAGTCCACCTTCCGCTGTCCAGCTTGCAGTTCTGGTGTTCTTCCAAAGCCGGCGCGGCCAGCTACGATACCGAGGTGCTATGCTCCCAATGTGGTTGTGGCGGTGGACCTCTTCGAGCTCCCCACCTGGAACAACGACGGGTCGGAGCGCTACTTGAATGCGGTCTGCCATGGGCACCAACTTCCAGATGGTGGAGAAGGTGCGCAGCAAACAGCCAGGAGCAGTGTGGGCAGCTTTGGCGCGATCGTGGGCCAGGGTCTTGGGCTTCCCGCAGATTATCCTTCTGGACCAGGGCACCGAGTTCCTAGGCGAGTTCCGCCAGAACGCCCACGACCTCGGCATCCTCATCCACACCATTGGCGCGAGGGCGCCGCATCAGAACGGACGGGCCGAGCGCCATGGAGCTCTCTTCAAGGCCATGTTCCAAAAGGCCCTGGGGTCGAACCCGGCCACAAGCAGCGAGGACTACAAGGTCCTTTTGCGAGAAGCGGAATCAGCCAAGAACCGCCTCTCGGATAGGAGTGGTTTCTCACCGGCCCAACGTATGCTGGGGGAAACACCCAGGACTACGGACGAGCTGCTGGCTGATGAAATGGTGGATGTGGTCCTAAAGGGCGTGACGGGCGAGATGGAGAAGAGGCTTCAAGCTCGAAGGGCTGCTCAAAAAGCCTTTGCGGAGGTGAACACTTCCCAAGCGGTTCGCTGAGCCATGCGGGCGCGAGCCAGGACCCAGCGGACCTTCAGGCCGGGAGATGTGATTTTCGTGTGGCGGTCTTGGAAGGCGCAAGGGGTCAAGAAGCAAGCCTGGGTGGGTCCGGGAGTTGTCGTCCTCCCTGACGGGCCCAACTGCTACGTCAATGTGAAGGGCAGGCTGTGGCGAGTGGCGAACGAACATGTGTGAGAAGGGACCTCCGATGAAATAAGGGGGATATAGAGGCAGTGCATGAGGTGTTCCAAGATTTGAAGGAGCGCTTCCAGAGGCCAGGCCGTGAACTTGGCATGGTCGAGGACCTGACTCAGGAACCTCTACCTCCGCGTGACCACAACGATCGTGTGCTTGCTGAAGGTGACGCCGGGACTAGCTAGAGCCAGGGTTGAAGACCCGGAACCGCCGGTACCGTTTCTTGAAGTTGCGGTGCCGGTTCAAGAGATCGAGGAGGCGATGCAAGAACCTCCGCTTCCTGAGCCGCCGGTTCCCGAGGTCCCGATTCCTATGCAGGACATTCCGCGGCATGTGCCGCCAGCTTCCGCGGAGGAGCCCAAGGTGGAAAGGACGGCCAGCCAGCCGGAGGCCGACGTGGAGGCAAGGATCAATGCAGGGCAAGAAGCCATTCAAGCCGCCAGGCAGCTGGATGGGACGCCGTATGGAGCCATCCGGCCTTCTACGGCGCCACGCCTTGGAGCCCTGCTCCGTACCTGGCCGAGGTCGCTCAGGACGACTACTTCGAGGAGCCGGCCGTGCCGCCGACAGTGTTGGAAGAGAGGGCCCCGGAGCAACCGCGGCGGCACCATGTGAAGTGGCGTTCGAGCTCCTTCTCTCCTTGGGAAGCTCCCAAGCTTCCGGTGCGGCACCTGACTTCTGAAAGGAGCACCACCAGGGTCTTCAAGACGGGCCTCAGCGACCAGGTGAGCGACGACTGGAAGGAGCTTAAACCTTCAAGACGCAGCCACGGAAAGTGGAAGGGCTACACCGACTTCTACCTCACCCGCTCGTCGCTGGCAGAGGTGCGGAAGCATCCGGAGATGTTCCAGGTCTCGGAAGCGCCACAGGAGTTCCTGATTGATTCCGAGGCGCCGGGGATTTTTGCGGTCAAGAAGGGCAGCGACGAGATTGCCGAGAAAGACATTAAGCAAGAAGACTGGCCCGAATGGAGGGTAGAAGATGCCAAGGAATGGTCCAAGATCGAGTCGTCTGGGGCAGTCAGGGTTCTATCTCCTGAAGAAAGCAACGCGGTGATCGAGCAGCTGACCAAGAAGCTGGACCGGATCATCGACAGCCGCTATGTGACGACTCAAGCCGGGAGAGCAGTTGGGCGAGAAGCCAGCCAAGAAGAGCCGTTGGTGTGTGCGGGGCGACCAGGACCCCGAGGCGGTGGACTTGAACACCTACAGCCCCACGGTCACCACGCAGAACTTGCAGGTGATCCTTCAGTGTGCGGCTTCTCACCGCATGCCAGGCTCTTGTGGCGACTTGCAGGCTGCCTTTATGCAGTCGGCCCCTCTCCTAAGGCCTGGCGGAAAGCTCTACGTGCGGCAACCAAGAAGCGGGTTGCCAGGACTGCTGCCAGACCAATTGGTCGAAATTGTTTGCGGCGTCTACGGCTTGGTCGACGGGCCGATCCACTGGCGCCGGACGCTAAAGCAGTTTATCGTCGAGGAGCTTCACTATCGCCAGTCTCGCTTAGACCCCACTGTGTTTTTGTTGGGGCAGGCCGGAAAGTTAGAAGGAATTCTGGTCATTGAGATCGACGACATTTTGTCGTTTGGCTACCAGGCCCACGATGAGGCCATGGCGCGGCTACGCCAGCGGTTCAAGTTCGGCAAGTTCAAAAGTTTTCAAGAACTTCCTGAAGGTACCACCTTCAACGGCCGGCGCATTCGACAGACGCCTGGGTTTGAAATTCTAGTCGACATGGAAAAAATACGTCCAGGAGCGCCTCTTCCGCATGAAGCTCGAGAAGGGCAGGCGCAGCAACCCAGAGGCGGAAGCGACGGCAGATGAAAGGCAAAAGGCCCGAGCTGTGATCGGGGCGTTGGCCTGGGCAGCCAAAGAATGCCGACCAGACGCAGCGGCTGCAGCATCTATGCTTGCGAGCCGCCTACCTACGGCCAAGGTGCGGGACCTGGTGGACCTCAACCAAGCAGTCGAGGCAGTGAAGGCCAAGAGCCAGCTGGAGTTGCGTTTCTTTCCGATTGCCCCTGTGGACCTGGGCTTCGGGACGGTGACTGACGCTTCGTGGGCAAATCACCCAGATGGTGGTTCGCAAGGAGCCACCGCCGTGATAGCCTTTGACAAGGCGCTCTTGTCAGGGGCACGTGCCCACTGCAGTTTGGTTGCCCGCTGCAGTTTGGTTTCGTGGAAGTCGGGCAAGCTTCGCCGCAAGGTCTCTTCCACCCTCGCCGCGGAGGCTCAGTCGCTGAACAAAGGCCTTGGCGACCTGTTGTGGGCCAAAACCATTTACGCCGAGCTGGTGGACCCGAGCTTCGACCTAGAAAGCTTCCGCCGGGATATAAAAATCCAAAGCAGATGTGGTGCTACAGAAATCCAATGCCGACGAGGTCCTTCGCGAGTTCTTGTCGGTGATTGACGCCAAGAGCCTCTACGACAACCTGGTCAAGGACGGCAATCAACCTCAAGACAAGTTCACGGCCTTGGACGTGGCGATTACCAGAGAAAAGATCGACGGCATGGGCGTGCAGGTGAGATGGGTGGAGCACCAAAGTATGATCGTGGACTGCCTCACCAAGGTGAAGGGCAGCAAGCAGGCATTGTTCGACCTGCTGGAGTCCGGGACTTTCCGGCTGGAGGCTGAAGGTGAGCTCTTGGAGGACCGGCTGGTACGACGACAAGAGGGGCGAGTTAAGCCTCGCTGATTTTCTGCCAACAAGTCAGCATAATTTTGAGGGAGCTGTGAATCAGCTTGCTGGTGCCCTGTAAGTTGCATCCTCTGACTTGTGTGGCCTTTCGGCTCTATGCCGGTAGGGCCCTTGAGTTTTACGACTACCGTTGCGAAGCATAGAAAACAGCCATTGCATTTGCCGACGCTGCGCTTTTAAACTCCGTGCTGTCATCATTTGCAAGTCCGTCGTGTCAGCAACGCCGGTGTCGGGGATACTCAGGGGGGTGCGTCGGAAGCATGCGCGGGCTGACTCCAGAACAACTGCAGGCTGATCCAAGAGCAAGACTCAGCTGAGTCGGGAACAGTACTGTGAGATACTGTGAGCGGTGCCTGCCCGACACGTGTCCGTCAATGTGCATTTTGGAATTTAGGGTTTGGTGTTCATGGTTGACGATGTTTGGTTTGATGTTTAGCAAGCAGTGTCAGTAGTCTAGCAGGGAAGATTCGGGGCTTGTGAGTGGCTCGAAAATTGGATTGAGACGTTTCTTCACCATGCCAATCCATCTGATGTGATTCGCAGACAGAATCCGACTGCTATAATTCTACATGAAAAACTCGAACTGTTGCCATCTACGGTGTGAGCCGGTGGAGTGTCCGCACCAGAACTGCTCAAATCCGTCTTCCGAACCGTTGTGCGTATGTCAAACTGTTAATGCTTCAGTTGATTTCGGAAACCTGCATCGACATGTACACTATGTGACTCCGACGACGACGAAGACAAAGACGTGAACGACGACTTCGACGACCGACGACGACACCCCGATATCGCGATTCACGGCTTGGAGCAGGGCTGCAAGTTCAAGAATGGACACTCCTGATTGCAAGATCTTTTGAATGTGTAGATCAGCACCTTTGCTAGATTTCTGGATCCTGGCAGGGACGAATTGGGGTCGCCGAGCCGGTGGGTGAGGCTGAGAAGCGGCCTGTTTGTGACCCAAACGCTCTGAAGAGACTTCTGCTGGGCAAGGTCGACGATGGCACGTTGGGACTCGCCAGCCTGCGCGGAGTGAAGTACCAGGGGAGCCCGTGGACGTGGACGTGGCTTCGAGGGCATTACTGTAGGTCCTACGATGCTCTTGAGTTGTTGTGTTTGTGTCTTTTTCTGAGATTCGGCCGAGTTTCATTTGTGAGTGCTGGCGCCCTTTTGGGTCTGCAACGGCACGAAGCTTGTTCCGTGAATGCGCACGGCGCAAAGCATCAATAGGCTGAAGCCTTGAATCCCAAACTCTTCACATGGCTCCAGGCTTGAGCTTCAGGTTTGTGGGTTTCTGTTCCAGTCACGGCACACCGGCGAACAGCTGTTCGGCATCCTCAGCTTCCCTCAACCTGCTAGACAGCACTATGTGGTTTGTTGCTTCGCAATAGTTAAATGGTAGGGAGTTTGGTCGCTTATCTGCCCCGAGTGGGTGTGAGGGCACATTCTTGCATGAGCTCATTCTTCAGTACCGGCATAAGAAGTTTCTCTCCTACTAGACGAGTCCGGAAGTTGAGAGCTTATTCGCAGTTTGTTTGGTGAGGCTGGTCGCCTGGATGGCAGGCACGCCTGGAGGGGGAAGGTACTGCTTTGTAAGCCTGGTTGAGTCGTTTTTTTCGCCTGTTGAGGCATCCTGCTCGCTTTTTTGGTGGCCCTCATTGCATGTGCAGCTTGCCGGGTGACATCCCGACGCAAGCTGGAATCGTTGATCTCTGAAACGGAGGGCTCGAATGAGCCGCTGGGATCGGGAGCATGAGTTGACGTTGTCAGTGTTCTGCAGTATCGTCACCTAAGCGAATCAAGGATGTGCGAATGAGCCACACTGGCCCTGTCGTCGCGCCTCCTGCGCCTCGTCGTGAGTTCTGCTACCATCGCCGGAAGTATCAGACGTTAGATGTGGATCCTGCAAGGACACGAGAAGATCGAAGTGCTGACGATGCTGTACAGTGTTTGCACCCGATTTTCGGCAAGGCATGGGAAGGCATGGCTTGCAGGCTGCACTCCAGCCAGGGATGGAGCGTCGCGATCTTTTGCACCCTGTACAGCAGTCGTAGGGTTAGCGGCAGAGTGTCGGCAGATTGGCTTGGCGTTGTTAGCCATGTGGCTCAGCGACTGTACCTGGGCCTTACCAAGGGCGATTGCGGAGACTTGGCAAAAGTCGCGACGAGGTCAGGAACCTGTTCTTGAACCTGCACCTTGAACGTTCCTGATCGCATGGCTTGAGCAGAGGGAGAGCTGCCGTCCAGACAAGCAAAGGAGCTTTTTCCAGACAGACAAGCAAGGGTTCCACCTGTTTGCAGCTCATCCACGCAAGTCCTGTAGAGTAAATACCAGCCTTGTGCTGTGTGGGTGCACAAGCCGGTTCGAACGATACACAGTCATCATTTAGACGTAGTCCAACCGTAACGATGACGACGAGCCAGGACCCTACATGTTCTTTCAGCATGCAGTGTCTCCGCTCTCCGGGCATTGGGCAGGTCAAAGTATTATGAAGCGGACGGTGTACGTTGGTGGTTTGGACGAACAGGCGGCTGTTTGTGCATCCTTCCACATTGCAAAGAACATAAAGAACCAGCTTTGACGACGACGTTTTTCGAAGTGGATCTTTTAGGCCCTCGACTGGGATTCGACTCTGCATAAAAACACGAGCCCGACCTTAGAGAACAAATCATGAGTCTTGCAAAGATCCTCTCCACAGGGTATGGAGGCCCAGGAGATCAGAGTACGGTTTACACAGGAAGGATACACCGGAGATGCTGTCCATGACAGTACGACGGTTGCGATGGGCAAGTCGCCCCAGCAACTGCTTCCCTCCAGACCCCAGGAGCATCCCTTTTTTTTTTTACGTATGCCATTCCGACGAATCTTTGCTGGCAGGTCGACCGCAAGGTTTTGGAAGAGGCTTTTGTGAAGTTCGGGGATCTGAAGACGGTGTCGTCCTCGTTGTGTGGAATGGGAGGCCACGAGGCATTACGTCGTTTCCCGCCTCTGAGGTTGAGATCCCCCTCGACATGAAAACCGGGAAGCCGGGAGCTCGCCGCGGCGCGCACACGACACGTGCGTCGCGGCTGCGCTGCGTCGCGGCTGCGTCGCTTCCGCCGAGGCACCGAGGCTTCGGCTTCGTGGAGTTCATGGAAGTGGATGATGCGGAGGCAGCGCGAGTAGCTGCGGACTACGGTGTCTTTCGCAGGCAGCATCTGCGGCATTGGGCAATGAGTGTCTTTTAGCGGAGGCAAGGTATGAATTTCGCACGCGCTTTTTTACTTCGTGGGCGGCCGGACAAAGGGGCCGAAACAACGCCTCAGGAAAATCAGAAACCCAGCGGCTGGATTTCCAATCTTCCTGTAAGGCAGTCAGATCCAAAGCCAGGAAAACAATAACTCCTTTGTCGCTTACTTATAGGCGGTTCGATGTCGTACCTGCCTTTTGTGCGGTCTGCTCAAAAACCAGGAAAGTCCAAGCGTCTTCTTCCTTGTGGGGCCGGGCTGTTTGCGTGCCCACGCTGCCCACCCTGGCAGGCTGCCATCGACAACATGCACTCCGCCGAGCTTTACGGTCGGACGCCAGACCCTCAAACCGAGATCTTCGTGTTAACATGCTGCCACCCTGTGTCCGGCTGCCTTCGCAGTCATGGTGCTTCGATTCTGTCCAGTGCCAGGATCAAAGTGAATTTAGCACGTGCACCGAAGAGTACACCGACCACAGAGTCGAACAGGCAGTGGCCCGCAGGAGACTTTGCAAGACCTTGCGAGACTGAATCTGTGCTCCAGCTCGGGACAGGCCGATCTGGGCAGATGATTTCTTCTATCGCAAGAAGCTGAAGGACGGCTGGGGGCATTTTGGCTGTCTCGCTCTGTCGCGGGGCTTAACTTGTGTCGCTCTCAATCCGGAGCCTGGCACTCTACTGCCATTTGGCTCTGAGACCTTGTCGCAGATGTCGCGCGTTTCTTGCATAGGCTTTCAGGCTTTCTAGATCGTAGCATGGGATGGGCTCACATGGGCTCACAGGTGTCGTGCTCATGCCCGCCATGCTTGCCACATTCACGGAGTCACAGACGGTCTCGGCCGGTCCGGCACGGGACTGGGCTGCTTGCGCCGAGTCTAGGGAGTGGTCGGCCTTCCGGCATCAGGTCCGTGCCGCCTTCGAGGAAGCACCCGCGACTCTGGGGCGCGGTTTGGTCAGAAAGGCGCAGATGCTCCTTCAGCGGTGGCAGGTTCCAGCCGGACAGTGGCGGGCCATGCTGGGAAGCGCCCGGCCTGCTGGCGATGTGGAAGAAGCGCATTGTGGGGCATCTGTGGACGTGACCCGTGGTGTCCTTGCTCAGGACACTAGTCGCGGATTTCACCCCTACCATCTCCTGACATTGCCTCATGACAGTCCTGTCTGGAGACAGGAGGACTTTCTGCGATGGCGCCGGGACTTCTGTTATTTGGGATACGCCGTGGCTCTCTACGTGCGATCAGCTTCCCGCATTGGCCCCTCCAAGGCCTTGCAAGAGGAGGACGAGGAGGAGCACATGAAGCTGTCAAGGGAGGATTTGCAGGTCGCCTCGTCCATGCTGGGTCGCTGCCGCGAGATGGACTTTCTGGATCGTTTTGTGTGGGGCGTGCAGTCCCTGGACCTCGACATGAGCCTGCTGCGCCTGGGTGCTGCGCTGCCGCAGCCGGCCGAAGGCGAGGCTCCTCCAGTCGCCGAGCGCTGGTGGGGGGGGCGGTGGCGCGGGTTGGCGGAGGACTTCCCCAAGGAGCAGCGAAACGCCGCCGCGAACCTCTGGCAGGCCTTGGGGAACGGCGCGCGGTTCCGACGGAGTCTGGAGGCCCAGGTGGCGCGGAGCGTGGCTTCGGGAGCGCTCACGGGCTCAAAGGGCCCAAATCCTCACTGGCGACAGCGGCCGATCGAGGTGGCACTCTTTGCAGTGCCGGTTTGGTATGCCACGGAGTTCTTGGTGGGCATTCTGCGCTGGCGTTTCCCGGCTTTACCGCTCTCGGTCTTCTGCGCACCTCTCGGAGGCTACAATTTGCCAAGGTCCAACGAGCTTCGAGATCTGGTGGAGCCTTTGCTACAGGAGCCTGCCGAGCTGCGGCTCTTGCGCTTGATCGAGGGCTACTGCTGCAATTGGGAAGAAGTGGAATTTTTGGTGGTGCGAGAAGCCATCGGGCAACTGGCCCGCAAGCTGAGGCAGTCCTTTTCCTTCCTGGTCTGTGCCGGGCCACTCTGGTTGTGCCTGCTCCTGCGCGAGGGAGCAGGCACCGGCTTGCCGCTGCTGGCCCATTGCCTCACATTCCAAGACCTGGATTTGCCAGGCGACAAAGACCAGAACGTGGCCTGGGTGCACCGGAAGATCCTGGAGAACTTTGGTGCTGCACCGGGGTCCGGTGCTGGGGTCTCCGGGATCTTGGTGCAGGATGACATGCAGCGGGTCTACTACCCCATGATCTTCGACTTCACCCGGCAAGGGAACTTCAGGCATGCAGGCCAGCTGAGCTTCTTCCAGATGCCCTACATTCAGGCTCGCTACACGCAGCGGCGTCTCCGCGCGACTCGGCCGGATCTGGATGGATTGTCGCGTGAGTGCTCGTCCTTTGCTTTCGTTGCATCCTGACATGCGCCGTTGGTGACTTCGAAGATAATTCGAAGATAACCGTCCGAGCCGTCTGGTCAGGAAGTGGTGATTGTGAGGGAAGGCACGACGAAACGCTGGACACTCTCGCTCCGAGGGCACCTCTGGTACCTGAAGCTGAAGCAGATGGCCTTGGCCCAATCTGAGCCTCGTTGCTGTTCAGGCTGCGGCTGCGCTTGTGATGTTGCCTGTGTTGCCTTGGCTTTTCTCAGGAAGGAGAGCTGCGCTGCTGTCGACTGCGATTTTTGAAGGATGAGGTGGCGAGGATCCCTTACTCGGAGATTGCCGAGCATCGAGCCGCTGTGTTCTTTCCGGGCATCGGCCATGCCAAACTCACCTTGCATGAGCTCCGAACGATGGGGATCCCCACCCTCTTCCCAGCGAAGAGTCTCATGTACCGAGTGGAGGACCTGATCCTTGACCCGCGCCAGCCCTACAGCGGAAGCTACCTGGCGTAGACTTCGGTGTTGAGTGCACCTCCCCTCAATTTCGGAAGAAGACAACGTGTTCAATTCGGCTGACCAGGGCATCAAGAGTAATGTTTCAGTGCCATGGTAGCAGGTCTGAGACGGGACACATCATGCAAGGCTACGACGGCTGTGGCTCGCAGCTGGACGGGGGGGCAATGCGACCAGACTGCAGCAGTCCTTCAAGGTTTCTCGACCTGCGGCTAGACGCAGAGCTTCTGTTTGAAGGGTTTCTGGATGCTCAGTGCGAATGGTTTCAGTTTGTGCAGTTTCTTGTGCTTTGCATCATGGCAGGTGTTCTTGCTGCTGACCCAAAAAATTAGGATCATGGCATCTGCGGCATATCTTCGAATAGATACATCAATGCTACTGATTTCAACTGTTCAGATGTCAGAAGACTTCAGATAATCGTCCGGGTCAGAGCCGAGACAACATCCATAGAAACACTTATCAGTTCCAGGGGGGGGAATGCGGGGGCGGGGGGTCGGGTCGCCACGGCGTTGCGCTTTTTTTTTTTCTCCTTCTTTTAGTATAGTTTCTCCTTCTTAAGGTCGAAGTTGCTGATTGCGCGCGCGAGTCTTTGCCAGGCGCTCCACGGCTCCGTGGATTTTGTCGTTGTGTGGATGGCGGCGCCACGCCTACTTCATGGAATGGTCCAGCTTCTACCGCTATCCTTACTTCTTGCATTTCGAGAGACGCCTGGAAGCAAACTTTGCAAGTGGCTTTCTTCTATCAGTTTCGCATCCTCAAGATAGGTTTTACTGCCCATTCCCCATCTCTCGGGCAGCACAAGTCTCTGTGCTGCTGAACTTGGTTCTCAGCACCAGCTGTCGGTATGAGCCTCTTGCAGACATGACTGGTCTGTTTGCTCAGTGGGTAAGGTATCCCTCATCTTTTTCAGCTCGTTGGTGCGATGTCCTCGCCAGAGCTTTGGGGTCTGAGCCTGAAGATGCGACGGCTGAACGCGCGGCTCCGGGCGGACGAGGCTGGAGTTGATTTGGAGGCAAAGTCTTCCCGGAGCCAGCTGCCAGTGCCGAGAAGCTTTGCATGTGGGTGTCTGGAGCAGGTGAAGTTCTGGGGCGATTTGATCTTAGCCCTCGGCAGCCTCGCCTCCTCGAAGGAACTTCGGCCCGGCCGAAGCGCCGAAGCTTTCGGCGCTGTTCGGAGAGATCCCAGCTGCTCCTTCGGGCAGAAGGAAGAGAACTCCTCCGCCTCCGCTGGTCGGTCCTGGGTGGCCTGCTGTGCAAGTACCTGTGGCAGCTGCAGCGACGAGAGGTGCGAAATCCGACTTGCAAGCTCTCCACAAGAACGGGTCTGTTTGCTTTCGTCGCCAGGTGCAGGCAACGTGGCGACCCCCGTGCTTGCTGCCCTTCGGAGTTGACACAGAAAGCCCCTTGGCTTTGTTCGCTGAGGACATTGATGAATCTGTGCAAGAACAGTACCTCTTTGCATCGCGCGCAGTCAGCTGAGGCCTGCAGCCACAACAGTCCACCTTGTCGAATGCATCGCATTCATCAAGATGTGGCACATTTGTGAACGCGGAGAGCATGGATCCAAGCGAAGATTTCAGAGCTTATGAGTCCATGAAAGCGCTCTGAGAAGCCGCACAACGGTTGGCGCCCCCTGCCGAAGCAGCAGACCTTGCCACCCTGGCTTGGCTCCGGATTGCCGGTGCGTGCTGGAAGCGCTCCGGAGCTCCCGAGGGGCTCTGATCAGCCGGAGAAGGCGTCAAGGGCTGGGCTGCGTCAGCTGAAAGTGGACCAGGCCAAGTCAGAGCCGTCTAAGCTTGTAGATCGAGGAAGTCGGATCAGCGCCAGCACCGACACACGCACGAGAGTTGAAGCCCCCGATGACTTCTATTGGTCTTCTGATCCATCCTGTTTTGTGAGAGTAACTGCGGGAGCCGTGGAGAAGACTGGAACACTGAACGGTTGACGAGGAAGTGGGAGACGGAGTTCTGCAAGTTCTTTCGGGCAGAACATCCTGATGATGGGGACGCTGTGTATCAAGTAGCCGAGGTCAGATTTGCACCATGCTCCGTGTCGAGATGTGGCCGTCAGCTCGATTGGCATCCGCAGCATCGCTGAAAAAGCGTGTCGAGCTAGGGACAAGAAGGAAGGAATTGGAGAGCCTCGCAGGAAGAGGGGCTCGAAGAGGGAGAGGGCCGCGGCCCCGAGAGCACAGCGTTTTTTTTTTTGGGGGTCTCGCTTCTGGACCTCACGGATTCCACAGAGCCGGCGCGGCGCTGCGCCATGCTGCGCCGCCTTGCCGAGGTCTCGGCGACTCCTGAGCCGCCGAGCCGCCGTCCTGGAAGCGCTCTCCCGGCCTGTGAGCGGAGCGAGACCGAGACGCGAAGCTACCCGAAGCTGCGCGAAGCTGCGGCGAGCAGCGGCTCTGGAGACCTGAGCTCGGGCCAGCACTCCTAAATGGAGAGGAGAAAATTGAGGGAGAGGAGGGAAAAAAGAGGGAGATTTCGAACATGTGACATCATGTGACCCCACATCGACCCCCCCGACATCTCCCGAGTCCCCAGCCAGCCTGGACGCCTCTCAAGCCTTCAACCTTTCTCGAGCAGCCGTGCTGGCTTTCGGAACACATCATGCGTCGTAGGGCCAGGACAGAGGCCAGAGCAGTAGCCGCGGAGGCTTCGAATTGTAGCCAGGCTTGCGAAGTGGCTGGGGATGGGCTGGGTTCATTGGATGCTGCGACAACAGAACAAGCTGACAGATATGACCGAGCCGAGCTCTGGATAGAGCCAACATGGCGGTTCCTCTCGGCTTCTCCTCAGGCCGTCGGGGCGGGTCCGGCGGGGCTGTGGGGGGGCAGTGACTTCCTTTTCCCCCAGCCAGGCTTGGAGGCCCTGCAGGCCAGGCGGGCGGTGGCCTCTCGGCGCCACCAGGCCGGGCCGTCGTCAGAAACCCTACCGGAGACTGGGTCCCCGGCTTCTTCCCAGGCCGAGCTTGTCCCTGAATCTTCTCATCGGTCCGATGCGAGTCGCGGCCTCGCTTCCCTCGCTTCCCTCTCCCGGGTTCCCCTTTCGCCCGCAGAGAGCTCAGGCCGAGCTGGAGCTAAACGGCTCGTGGCTTCCGGGCATCGGTGCGGAGCCCGCCGAGTTGAGGCTCGCCGCTCTGTGAGAGACCCCGCAGTTCGTGAGAGGCATTCGCCATTCGTGGCATTCGCCTCCAGCACGGCCGCTGTTGCGTTCAGCATGCGGTCTGCACGGAGGCCAAGGCTGGATTCACCTTGATTGGATGGCACCTTGCTTCAAAGGTGCCTGTGTTTCCAGGCGGCCACTGCTACGATCGCTGCGCACTGGCAAGGCTGATCGTTGCTTTTTCGGGCGGATCGGAACAATCTCAGCCTTGAGCTCGGCAGGCTCCGACACCCCAAGAGGGCAGTGAAAAAGCTGCCTTTTGGCTTGGGCCCTGGCATCGCGCTGAAGTGGCTACTTATGCCACAGTGCTTCCGAGTTGGCAGGTCCCTCTGCCTCGTGGGAGTGTATATCAGTTGCGACGTGGGCGTGAACCTCTGCAGCGAGGCTGCTTCCCAAGGCGGAGGGTCCAGAGTTGGGCTTTCCGATCTCTTTTCCGCTCCTTCTCTGGGAGGCTATCAGAAGGCCAGTGCCGTGTTGGTCACCTCTCTGGTCTCCGCGGTCATCGGCGGCAACCTCGGGAAGTTGGTCGTTGTTTTCTAGAAGCTCAGTGATCAGTTCGGGCTTGAGGTGCCGTCTGGGCACTTAGACAGGATGGATGGAGGCTGGGAGCGGACATGCCTTCCGGGGAAGCAATACTTTAGCGGTCTAGCACTTTTGGTACTAGGGGTGTGCAGCGGTGCATAGCGCCGGAGAATGCTGGGAGCTCGGATCAACATCAGCTCCAGACCCACCCCCGAGTTCTGCCAAAAAAGCATTTTGAGGTCTTCTATCGTTCCAACATTTTTGCTTCCGTGTGCGTTGCTCAGTCTAGACCGAAGCTTCGGACAGATTCGAGCAGCTCTGGATGGCCCTGGTCAGGTTGTTTGCTTGTTCGAGCATCTCGCTCCTCAAGGCACCTATGGGACGCTTGGCGGCTTGGCATGTCTCCACTGTACACGGTGTCAGGCCTTTGAGAAACAGAGTGCTGCCTTCATCAAGCTAGTGGGCCAGGCCCGAGTTTCGGATCCACGAAGCGATCAGATTCACGGTGTGACTCACAAACTGTCCTGAGCAGTCTTTCGTCCTCTGAGTCTCCCTCCTTCGCGGGCCTACTGACAGTTGAAGCTACCGCTGGCGGCCTTTCTGGCGCGGTACTTTCTCGGCAAGAGGCCGGGCTTCCGAGTGCCTTCTCTTTGCCACTCCTGCACACTTGGTTTAGGAGTGAAATCCAACAGTGAATACATCATATCGCAAACGACATCGGCGCAGAAATAGCGACGCATTCACCAAACATAGGTGGCACTATCCATTGTCCCATTTCTAGTACTGCTGCTGCTGCTGCTGCTGCTGCTGCTGCTGCTGCTGCTGCTGCTGCTGCTGCTGCTGCTGCTGCTGCTACAACTACAACTACAACAAGTACAACTACAACTACAACTACGACAACCGCCGCCACCGCCACCACCGCCACCACCGCCACCACCGCCACCACCGCCACCACCACCACCACCACCACCACCACCACCACCACCACCACACCACCACCACCACACCACCACCACCACACCACCACACCACCACACCACACCACCACCACCACCACACCACCCACCACCCACCACCACACCACCACACCACCCACCACCCACCACCCACCACCACCACCACCACCACCACCACCACCACCGGGTACCAGGACCAGGACCAGGACCAGGACCCAGAGACCAGGACCAGGGACCAGGACTCAGGACCAGTAACCAGGACCAGGCCAGGACAGGACCAGGACCAGACCATGACCAGGGACCAGGCCAGCCGACCAGGACCAGGACCATGACCGGACCAGGACCAGGACCAGGAACCATAGGACCAGGACCAGGACCATGACCAGAGACCAGGACCAGGACCAGACCAGGAACCCGTACCAGGACCATGACCAGGACCAGGACCAGGACCAGTACCAGGACCAGGACCAGGACCAGGACCAGGACCAGGACCAGGACCAGGACCAGGACCAGGACCAGGACCAGGACCAGGACCAGGACCAGGACCAGGACCCGGACCAGGACCAGGACCAGGACCAGGACCAGGACCAGGACCAGGACCAGGACCAGGACCAGGACCAGGACCAGGACCAGGACCAGGACCAGGACCAGGGCCAGGACCAGGACCAGGACCAGGACCAGGACCAGGACCAGGACCAGGACCAGGACCAGGACCAGGACCAGGACCAGGACCAGGACCAGGACCAGGACCAGGACCAGGACCAGGACCAGGACCAGGACCAGGACCAGGACCAGGACCAGGACCAGGACCAGGACCAGGACCAGGACCAGGACCAGGACCAGGACCAGGACCAGGACCAGGACCAGGACCAGGACCAGGACCAGGACCAGGACCAGGACCAGGACCAGGACCAGGACCAGGACCAGGACCAGGACCAGGACCAGGACCAGGACCAGGACCAGGACCAGGACCAGGACCAGGACCAGGACCAGGACCAGGACCAGGACCAGGACCAGGACCAGGACCAGGACCAGGACCAGGACCAGGACCAGGACCAGGACCAGGACCATCACCACCACCAGGACCAGGACCATCACCACGACCAGGACCAGGACCAGGACCAGGACCAGGACCACGACCACGACCACGACCACGACCACGACCAGGACCACGAACACGAACACGACAACGACCACGACCACAACCACGCCCACGCCCACGACCACGACCACGACCACGACCACGACCACGACCACCACCACCACCACCACCACCACCACCACCACCACCACCACCACCACCACCACCACCACCACCACCACCACCACCACCACCACCACCACCACCACCACCACCACCACCCACCCACCCACCACCACCACCACCACCACCACCACCAACCACCACAACCACAACCACAACCCAACCACCACTTCAACCACAACCACAACCACAACCACAACCACAACCACAACCACAACCACAACCACAACCACAACCACAACCACAACCACAACCACAACCACAACCACATTTCATTCACACGCAGCGGGGGAGGACTGTCTGTGGTGAAACTTATCGTCCACGCTTTGCGAGGGATCGACCTAGTGCCCTGCTTACTACTTGCGCGGTCACTCTTCACGGCAAGCCGTGCCTCAACACTGCACTTGCGCACGCTCCGCCCCTCAAGGCTGCAAGCTGTGAAGTGGGAAGTGAATGTGTCTTCAGAGTCTTATGCGAGTTACGATTTCGGCACTTGCTGGAGCTAACCGGGTTGGGTGCAATGTATCACTGGCTGATTGGCAGCAGATCATTTTGCACTCAGCTGCTGGGGAGAAACTCCACCACCTGTACACACATGGCAAGGGGAGAAACTCCTCCGATTGTTGGGGAGAGTCTCCTC